GCTGCTAGAGCTCTTCTGATGTCACTGGCTCCCTGGAGACAGACATCTCCATGCCACTTCACCCCCAGAGACATCAGCTCTGTTCCCATGTCACTGATCCCCCTGGGAGAGACCTCCCTCACTGTCCCCCATGTCACTCTTCCCCACCCCGAGGAGAGACTCCCATGTCACTGCTCCCCCCCTCCTCCCCTGGCCAGGGAGACACTCCTCATGTTACTGCCCCTGCCAGGGAGAGCCCCCCCCTTGTCAGTGCCCCTCACCCCTCCAGGAAACATGGCTCATGTCACTTCTCCCCTGGGAGAGACCCCCCCAGTCACATGCCCCCCCAGGAGAGACCCCCCATGTCACTGCCCCCATCACTGACTCCCTGGGAGAGACCTCCCTCACTGTCCCCCATGTCACTCTTCCCCCCACCCAGGAGAGAGAGTCCCCCATGCCAATTCTCCCCCATTCCGGGGAAAAGAGACCTACCTTATATCACTGCCCCCCTCCTTCCGGGGAGAGAGATCCCCATTTCACTGCATGGTCTTCTGGCAACTGCCCCCGCTTCAGGGATAGGACACCCCCACCCCCCGGTGTGTCATTCTGTATGGGTGGGTGCTGCTAGAGCTCTTCTGATGTCACTGGCTCCCTGGAGACAGACATCTCCATGCCACTTCACCCCCAGAGACATCAGCTCTGTTCCCATGTCACTGCTCCCTCAAGAGCCACCCTCAGCACTGAGAAGCCTTCTGCTGTACCTCCTACAGCTCCCCTATCCCTGACCCTCCAGGTGAGAGAAGAAGGGAGAGGCTTGGTGGAGAGCCAGACCTCTGAGGTAAATTAATCAGGGAGTTGAATCCTGTGAGTCCCAGGCCCTGGCAGATTTTGTTCTCTCACCCAGTGTTCATCATTATGTGTTCCAGGAAAGATCTTTCGTGTTGCATCTCTCCAAGCAGTGTAGCACAACAGGCCTTAATGGAGGTGACACTGTAGAACTGGGAACAGCGAGACAGGGCATGATGGGTCAAGAGCCTGCAGAAAAGGGGAGAGCTAGAAATCAGGGCATTGATAAAGCAATTTCACATTTGACACAAATTCAAGGAAGGGAGCAAGGCATTTAGCTAGGTGAAGGGAAAAGTTTTAAGCTTACATTTGAAGAAGAAACTTGATTGGATTGGCTCAGAGGGAGAAAGTGCCAGGTAAACAGGCAGCAAAAATAAAAGCTTAAAACCTTCCCCCAGTTTCGGCGAATGAAGCAGAAAGAGAGGAAGCCAAGATTAGAGGAGTAGTATGCGTTTATATGGGGAATAAGGTGGATGTGGACCCAGAGCAGATTGAAGAGAGAGTCAGTCAAGCATGCCAGACACCAAGATGGCAGTTTTATATTGCATTCAGAAATGGAGAGGAAGCCATGGCTGGTGATTGAGATGGGAGGATGGATAGGAAGGAACAGTTTAGGCAGATAGTGAAGGGTGATGTATGACAGGGGGAATATTAATAAATATAGTTAGTGAAGATTTTTTCTTCCCTAGGTTCTCAACGAACATTTCTGCAAATCATGGTTCCATGGTCAATGCCATCATATCAAAATGGAAATCAGGTATTAGTGCTTATAATTAAGAATAATATGGACTCGTATATAATAATTTTGCTTAGCTGAAGGTACAACTAGAAATCCTTCTGTGCACAAATTCTTGTGGCTTTTATAATTTGTGTACCATCATGAAATATTGTACAGTCAATCATCTTGATATACTGACCTGGATATGGCGAAGTGCTCGAGCATTTAAACTTTTAGATTTAAAGGGGAGCTGCAAATCTCTTGTACAACATTTTTTAAAAAGTTTCAGCTTCCAAAATCTTACAGGTATTGGCATGAAATTTACTGGCAGTCTTAGTCTTGTCAAATGCAAAGTAATGCTCAATGAAGGACTAATTTAAATTATTTGCATGTATTGCAGTGTTTTAAATTAATGTAATGTCTCAGGAGAAAGATCCCCGTGGTTCATTGTGAATATCTCATTGAAATCATTTGCTCAGAGTTCAGCTCCGGTAAAAAAAAACAAATAAAGTGTATATAAATAATGGGATAGAAATAATACTGAAAATATTATCCAATTACACAAATTGATAATGCACTCTCACCTGGAATATTGCATTCAGTTCTAGACATCTTGTCTCTGAAAAGTGTTACAGAAATAGAAGAGTTCTCGAGTTGGGCAACAAAACAGTTCAACACATGGAAAAATTTCTGTATGAGGAGAGATTAGGAGAGTTCAGTTGAGAAGGAAGATGAACAAGAGGGGACATGATGATGATGATATGTATAAAATAAGAGCAAGCACAATGAAATATTCAATGGAAATGAAAGGCAACATATGTGTGATTGCTAAAAGGAAATAAAAGTTTTATTGGATAACATAATTTTTATAAGGGATATAAACCCTCCTTATTCAGGGTATAATCCAAACACTAATGAAAGGGAATTAGGAATAAATTTAATTTATGAGCAGGTTATTCCATAATGGTCCACTATACTTCTTGTACCTGCCTTTGATATATCTGGTACAAGCTATTGCTGGAGATAGGATAATAGACTAGACTAGTACTGGTCTGAACCATTATGGCAATTCTTATGTAAATAATTTGCACATAATGTTACTTGTTTTTTAAAGTCTAATCATTTTTATTGATGATTGTATTCAATTATTTTTAAATGGTTTTACAGTCACTTTTATGATAGCTGTACATCATGATATTAGGAACCCTGGTGGGTTTGTGCTCACTTGCACTATCAATATAATTATTTGGTTCCCATGAAAATAACTTCCTATACTATATCACTTTGTATAGAAATTTTATTGCCACATAAAATGTTCTTGTAAATTATATAGTGTATACTGATATGTGATTTTGTCCCCTGTGGTAATTGGAGCAGGATTTCACCTAGTTTATTAATTGTAACTACATATTTTGAATTGTTATATTGTTTTTCCTTTTAACATTTCCTCCTTCTCCTTAGCTGTGGTTGCTTATAGACAAGGAGCTTTTAAAAGGAACATATGATACAGTTTAAGAAAGAAAAGATTGAGTCACTCTGCACAGCACAGAGCTTTGGAAGGGCACAACACAATATGTTTTGGTAGATGTCAAGAGGGGTCAACCCTGGTCTGGTGTATTTTAATCTCAATTGGTCCATTTCTCTTGAGAAACACTTGCAGTGTACTTCTTCATTGAGCACTTTAAATTTATGTTCATGTTTAGTAGATGCAGAATTATTGAGCTATTTAAAATACTGTGTTAGTAAATCTCTTTTTCTCTGTCATTCTGGATGCGTTAGAACCAGGTGTCCTATGTTATTACAATAGAAGAGAGGTCATATACCCTTCACCTGAAGCAACAGTAAGTGACTGACTTTCTTCCTCACCCTTTGGCTGGGTACTGTGTGATCTGCTATTATAAATGTTTCTAATAAATCCTGTCAGGTATTGGATGACTTGTTTTTAACTTCCCTTTGTTTTCCAGTCTTTGGTTATTATTTTTTGTCTGTAAGAGTCCAAACTTATACTTCTCTATCTTGTTGCTTTAGCCTGTTATTCTTATTATTATGCACTGACAATTGATGAGTAGGAAATACCCTCACAGATCCTTGAGTTTCAAGACTTAAGGAGAAGATTGAGAAGCTGACTGGCAAACAGCAAAAGAACTTGGAATCCTCAGAAGGGTTTGTAGCTGTGTACCTTGAAGGCTGATCATTACTGTCACCCCATCTAACTCAACAATTTTCCAATCGGAAAGAAAATATAAAATATTATGTGACTCAAGAAATTGAACTAAAGGGTGGAAAAAAATCATTGCAGCATGCTGAAATAAGTGTGAGTGCTCTTTAATTTTTCGGGAATGTATAATACTTATTTTGGAATTCAAACTTTTTTCTTTTCTTTTTTTTAAATAGAGTTTTTTTACCCAATAATTTCAGGGTGTATACTTACAGCCAAGAGGGGTCTGTTCATTCTAATTTCCCACATATTAAGGTAAGATTTATTTACAGTGTCTTGCAGGTTTAGCTTTTTCAAAATAGACTCGCTGTTAGAAATACTCTCTGGGGATTTTACTTATATTTTTAAGTATTAAAATGACTCTCCTGTTGGAAAGTACCTTAGACTTTTCTTATTTATTGCTAATCCTGGTATGGGCTTCTTCAATGAAAGGTACAAATATCCATTAGAATTACTAAGAGTAAAAATTATTATTTTCAAATTTAGAACTGTATTAAATTAACAGCCTTATCAAGAAAGCATCTGTGGTAAAGGCACTACAACAGAGTTTTAGAGTGGGATTTTCTAAAGCTGTTAGTGTTGACCTACTTTTGTTCCCATTAAAGTTAGTTGGAGTGGAGTGGAGTGCCAATGCTGAACATTTTTTAAACTCATAAAATCAATAGCATAATTGTGAAGATCTCAATTATATGTAAAATCAAAAGAAAAACATAGATGTAAAAGAAATATGGGTTTCTTACAATCCTGAGCATTTCACTATAGATAATATTAGCTTATTATCCATAAACTGTTCTCCCCAGATCCCCAAAGTCGGATTTAATCTGCAGTTAATGGCAATGGCAGATGCTAGTTTCAGAAGAGCAATGCACCCTAAGCTTTTCTCTTTAATATTATCGACAGGCTAACAGTACCTTCTCAAAGTACTTGCTCATAGTATTAGAATATTGGAGAGGAAGGATGGTCCAATGATTAGGGTGCTAGTCTAGGACTTGGCAGACCCGGTTTCAAGTCTCTCCTCAGCACAGGCTTCATGTGTGGCTTTTGGCAGGTTACTTAGTCTCTCTGTGCCTCAATTCTCCATCTGTAAAATGAGGATAATAGAACTTCCTTACCTCATGAGTGTAAGGTGACCAGATAGCAAGTGTGAAAAATCGGGATGGGAGTGGGGGATAATAGGCGCCTATATAAAACAAAGCCCCAAATATCGGGACTGTCCCTATAAAATCGGGACATCTGGTCACCCTACATGAGTGTCATGAAGATAAATACATTGAGATGCTCAGATACTGTGGTGATGGAGGCCATACAAGTACCTAAGATAAATAGATAATAGTTCCCGAAGAGTGAAGTTCAGTAGAGGGAACAGTACTGGGTTTACAGTGACACCGTGGCGTCAGGCCCACATTCAGAAGGGGCCCTGGTGCCTGGACTGCGGCCCTGCCCCTGACTCAGCCTGTGCTCTGCCCCTAGGCTCTGCTCCCACTCAGCCTCTTCCCCCTGAGGCCCCTCCCACTGCTTGTTCTTCTCCACCCCTCCTCTACCCACTGCTTGCCCCTCTCTGCCCCCCCTCTTTTCTGCTCCCTCCCCTCTGTGTGTGAGTGGTGGGCGGGGCCTTGAGGGAAGATGCAGAGCAGGGCCGGGCCTTGGAGCAGAGCATGGGCCAAGTGCGGGGTGGGGTCCACAAAAGTTTAATTTGGCCCTGAGAGGGGTACAAAGACAGAAAAGTTGATCATTTGGAATTTTCCAGTTCACTCATATCTACTCACGTTTACAGATGGTGGGCCCTTTGTCCCCATATACTTTTCATTGGGAGCATATCCTTTAAAGTTAGAGTGACAACATAACCTAAATAATTATGGATGTGCACTGCCTCAGCATTTCAATACTAAAATGATTTCCAGCTCTTGGGTGGTGAACTCCCCTTACTGATAAGTAAGCCATTAATTTTTCTTAAATTATTTTTTCTAGCGTGATTGTTTCTACAAAGGCTATATTGCAGGTTTTCCAAATTCAGTTGTGACACTCAGCACCTGTTCTGGACTTAGGTAATGACATCACTTTTATTTAAATACAGAAATTAAATAATTCAGAAGGTTTTTTTGCATTTACAGTATCTGTTGCCTTTCAGACTGACTGTGGTTTCATTCAAACTATGTTATAGCTTCACATAATTTTGGCTTTTTCAGAGGGATACTGCAGTTAAAGAATGTCAGCTATGGAATTGAACCTTTGGACTCTACACCTGGATTTCAGCATCTAGTTTATCAAATATGGAATGAAAACATAGAGAGTCTGCTTTTTGTAGAAAATGATTCTGTTATATGGAGTGAAGGGATGACACGAAAGCTGGATACAGGAATAAAAGTAGGTGCTGGTTGGTTTGCTTTGCTGAGAAAATGTTTAATATGTTAATACAGGGGTCGGCAACGTTCGGCACGCGGCTCGCCAGGGTAAGCACCCTGGTGAGCCGCGTGCATAAACGTTGCTGACCCCTGTGTTAGTATCTGATCTACTTTAAAATTACTACACTAAGTATTTTTACCCAAATTCTTTTCTCAGTTACACTTGTACATCCTCAATAAAGTTTGTGGGGTTGCGTGGATGTTACTGAGGGCAGAATTTGTCCGTTTGTGTTTTGTCTGAAAGATAGGGCAGAGCCACTGCACTGTGGTAATTTTGGTTTATTCAGTATGTCTGATACTCAGACACTGGACAACTCAGTTGTGGTAAGAACAATCTTTTATCTCTTCTGGTTGGGTATCGTGATAACACACATTATCTTCCTGGACCGTGGATTGAAGCATAGGGCTGCTACATGGCAAGTAGAAGCCGTTACTTTATTAGGAAAGAATGTAGCTGGGAAGCAATGATTCTTGGATGCTTGTGGGGATGTGATCCAGTACCCTGAACTGGTTTGGGAGATCATGATGTCCACCTTGCTCATAGATGTAATATTACTAAAGGGGATATTCCCATCTCGATGAGGAGGGCTTTCTGCACACAAGCCCAATAACGACAGGTGAGACAGCACAGCTGAGACCTCACATATTGGACTGAGGATTAGACTCCTAAATATCCTCCCTGGATCCTCAATCTAACATTCAGCACCTGACATAGCTTTGGGCACCTGAAAATTGGTAGTTCTAGATTTAAATAGCGAGTCTAAGTACATAAGTACATATATAGACAGTCTCCTTTGATATTTTTGGATCTCTACCTACCACTTTCACTTCTCAACAATAATGCCCCTACACGACTGGTTAGAAGGGTTTTCAGCCATGCCCTCAGAGAACCACGTAGCTTTGTCTCTTCAGACTTTTTATGTGCTGATCTAAATTACTAGGTCAAATTGGGAACTAAGGTGAGAAATTAAATGATGCTGGTGCCAGTGACTTGACAGTGCAGTGTGCATGGCAGGACACCTAACTATCCCACCAGAGAGAGAGTTGTGGATCTAGGCCAGATGGGATGTGTGGATTCCGCACAGAAGTTTAGTGTTTAAGGTCTTGACCTCACATAATTTTCCCTTGGGCAGAGGAGACCAGTTCAAGTAATCTTTGAACAAATTTGGCTCCAAAATGTCAGATTTTCATGTACATGTTGCTTCCGTAACTTTGGTTCAGAGGTTTTACTAATAGTGGAGAGTGAATGTCATTATCAAAATGATTCTCAGCTGTGAGATCACTTATTAATTTAAATTTTCCCATTATTATTCTCCTTTTTAAAAATTCTAGTAATTAAGTGAAGTCCAACTCTGTTGATGATTTTAGAATCGTATACATTCCTTAATTTGTGACTTCTAAGAAGTCCAGGACTATTTCCACAGATTGATTTAATTGTTTCTGAATTGTACTAATTAAGCTTGGGCATTCACTATTCTTGTTTCGTGACTTCTGCTCTCTGTGTCTCATTTACACTGCTAGTAATGAGCACAAGAGGTATAATGTAGAAGTAATTCCTTAATATACTTTTTTCCTTAAGGCAAAACAGAATTTCCTCAGATACTCCAGATATCTGGAAATGCATGTGATTTTGGACAAGGCTCTGGTAAGTCTAAACTAATTAATCATTTATATTTTCCTATAGTATTGTCTTAATTTTTATTGCAAAAGCTGATTCCAGCTCTAGAAACTTCCTCTCTTTCTCTACCGCATATAGTAGGAGCATGCACACTTTACAAAATGTAGATGTGGCTTCTCCCTTACCCCCACTGATGTCTTAACCATTTTGATTAATCCTATGGCAGATTCAAAAACTGATGCATATTTATGACTGTCTAAGGTTAATGTCCCAAGGTTGCCCCCTTGCAGAGAGAGCAGGCACCTCACTTAACTGCTATATTGTTCTCTGGGCAGCCCCAGCCCTGTGGTCTGGTTCTGGGGTCTGGGTACAGCCTTCTGGCTGTGCCTTTAGTGAGTCCGTCCCCTTTCAGGGGATATAAAACAATCCAAACAAAGGAAAATATTTATCTGCCCCCCTTCCTTGTGCAGGGAAGCAGTCTTTCAGGCAGTTTCAGTTCCCAGTCCTCAGTGCAAATAAAGGTCAGGGCCAATGTTTCCTCTAAGTTTTTCTATCCATGTGTGGAATAAATTTTGTTATGTGCACCAAGGTGCATCAACAAAAAACCTAGATATAATATATATTTTTTAAAAGTTACCACAGGGATAATTACTCCAGCCAGGACAGGTTAGGCATTTTAGAACTCAATTTAAGTGTAAGAGGGAAATAAAAATTATGAAATGCATAGACCAGTCAAAAACTCTGCGGAGATGGGGTACATGGGCAGGAGAGAAACAGAGACAGAAATCGTGTGAGTGGCTGCTGGGGAAGTCTTAGAGACCCTGCGCTGTCCCTTTAAGGCCCACTCACTCACCCGGAAAGCTAGTTCAGACCTCCGACCACAGCAACTCTCTCCTGCTCGAGTCCTGAGCCCTGTCCCCTCTCCCCTGCTCTGTGGAGATGGGGGTCAGGGGGGCGGGGACACCGTGACATCAACACCCTCTCCTCCCCGCCCTCTGCACAGCCAGCAGGAGGGTCACTGGAGCAGCTGAAGGAGCAACTTGGATGCAAAGCAACAGGGGGGAGGGGCACCTGAACACATGCTGCTGGATGTGCGCGGCTCTGCTAATTAAGTGCACGGCACTTGAATCACTCCTGGGCGGCTGTCCAACCGTGCAGCTTAGAGGGAACACAGATCAGGGCTTAATCCTCGGGGGAATTTCAACAAAGAAAATCAGCCCAACCTGTCTCCTTTCTCAGCAGGTTTAGGCAGGCAGCATTCACAAACTATGTGTCAGTTAGTGACACAGGGCCTCCAGTCTGGGTGCCGGAGCCAGGGCCTGCTTGCTTCTGAGTGCCACTGCAATCGCATGGAGTTCCTCTCTTTCAAGGGCTTGTCTCCAGGCCTGACGAGCCTCGCAGGTGCAACGGGTTGGGGCTGATTGTGACCACAGGAGTTCCTTAACACTTGCTTGGCTTGTGGCCCCGTGTGTATGTCATCTGCCCCACCACAATGCCACAGTACTTTTAACCCCAGCAACAAACATTTAATGGCATCCTCCATGCTTTAGAGAACTATTGGGTAGTTCCCCTTTTAGAAGTTAAATACTACTGTGGTGGGGTTCTTTGGTGTTTTCCTCCCTGTGAGGATGAAACACCATAACAGAGGCTCAAACTGTGTATACCCCAAATAAAAAAAAATCTGTAAGAGAACCAAAAAATGCCACCATGGCTAAACACCAGAGTAAGAGATGCCAGGTCACCAGGGCCATTGTTTCTCCCCACCTCTAAAGCATGTGCTGCCATACCCAGTCTTTTCAAGGAGATTTATTTCTTTAAACTGAGATTATCAAGCAAACAGAAAATAGTCTTAACTCCATCCTTGGCCCCAGGTTTCAGGGCCACCCTTCCGAGGGGTCTCTGGCACCCCAGCTCCTGGTAGTCTCCCAGCCTCAGTCAGCTCTGGTCCTCTTGGGAGCAGCAGCTGCATGGCTGCTTCTCTAAGTCCTGATCCCTCCCACTCCAGTGTGGCTCTTTCTCCCCAGGGCTCAGCCTGTTTCAGTCCTTCCTCCTTCCAGGTGCCTATTAGCATAGCAGCTCTTTATAGGCCGAGGTGTAGCCCAGCCCTCTTTAACTAGCTGGATTGGGCTCACCTGCTGTAGTCCAGGGGAGCTGGGCTCAGTCTATCCACAAAGACAGGCAGTTACAGACAAAAAGACATCTTTAGAAAAGAACATAAACTCTGGCAAGTCAAGTGTAAAAATATAATTCGGCAGGCCAAAAAACAATTTGAAGAGCAATTAGCAAAAGACACAAAAACTAACAGCATTTTTTTTCAAGTACATCAGAAGCAGGAAGCCTGCTCAATAATCAGTGGGGCCATTGGATGATTGAGGTGCTAAAGGAGTACTCAAGGAAGACAAGGCAGTTGCAGAGAAGCTAAATGGATTCTTTACATCCATCTTCACTGCAGAGGATGTGAGAGAGATTCCCACATCTGAGCCATTCCTTTTAGGGGATAAATAGAGGACGTTTGGGAACAAATTGATAAATTAAACAGTAATAAGTCACCAGGCCCAGATGGTATTCACCCAAGAGTTCTGAAAGAACTCATATATGAAATTGCAGAACTACTAAATGTGGTATGTAACCTATTGTTTAAATCTGCTTCTGTACCAGATGACTCACAGATAGGCTTACTGGCCTGTAATTGCCTAACTTTAGTATGAGGTAAACTGGCTGAAACTATTGTTAAGAACAGAATTATCAGACACATAGATGAACACAATATGTTGGGGAAGAGACAACACTGCTTTTGTAGAGGAAAATCATGCTTCATCAATCTATCAGAATTCTTTGAGGGAGTCAAAAAGCATGTGGACATGGGTGATCCAGTCATTATAGTGTACTTGAACTTTCAGAAAGCCTTTGACAAGGTCTCTCACCAAAGGCTTTTAATCGAAGTAGGCAATCATGGGATAAGAGGGTCCTCTCATGGATCAGTTAACTGGTTAAAAGATAGAAAACATAGGTAAGAATAAATGGTCAGTTTTCACAGTAGAGAGAGTAAATAGCACGCTTGCCCAAGGATCTGTGCTGGGAACAGTGCTGTTCAGCATATTTATAAATGATCTGGAAAAAGGGGTAAATAGTGAGGTGGCAAAGTTTGCAGACTATATTAAATTACTCAAGATAGTTAAGTCAAAAGCTGACTGTGAAGAGTTACAAATGGATCTCACAAAACTGGGAGGATGGGCAACAAAATGGCAGAAGAAATTCAATGTTGATAAATACAAAGGAATGCACATTGGAAAACATAATTCCAACTACACATACAATATGATAGCATCTAAATTAGTTGTTACCACTCAAGAAAGAGAACTTGGAGTCCTTGTGGATAGTTTTCTGATAACGTCTGCTCAATGTGCAGCAGCAGTCCAAAAATCTAACAGAATGTTAGGAACCATTAGAAGAGGGACAATAAGACAGAAAATATCCTAACGCCACTATATAAATCCATGGTACGCCCACACCTGGAATACTGTGTGCAGTTTTGCTCGCCCTGTCTCAAAAAAGATATATTAGAATTGGAAAAAGTACAGAGAAGGGCAACAAAAATGATTAGGGGAATGGAACAGTTTCCATATGTGAGAGATTAAAAAGACTGGAACTCTTCAGCTTGAAAAAGAGACAACTGAGGGGAGATATAATAGAGATCTATAAAATCATGAATGATCTGGAGAAAGTGAATAAAGAAGTGTTATTTACTCCTCACATAACACAAGAACCCAGGGTCACCCAATGAAATTATTAGGCAGTCTATTTAAAACAAACATAAGGAAGTACTTCACACAATGCACAGTCAATCTGTGGAACTCATTGTGAAGGGATGTTGTGAAGGCCAAAAGTATAACTTGGTTAAAAAAGAATTAGGTAAGTTCCTGGAGGATAGGTCCATCAATTAGCCCAGATGGTCAGTGACACAACCCCATGCTCTGGATGTCCATAAACCTCTGATTGCCAGAAGCTGGGACTGGATGACAGGGGATGGATCACTCGATAAATTGCCCTGTTCTGTTCATTCGCTCTGAAGCATCTGGCACCGGCCACTTCTGAAATATAGGATACTGGGCTAGCTGGACCGTTGGTCTGATACATTATGGCCATTCTCATGTTCTTATGATGGCTGCTTTGTCCATTCTACCAAATGATCTAGGAGGAGATGGAAGGATATGACATGAAGAAAAACAGGTAAAGTTTCTCTGAGAAGTGGGTGAGAATATTTTACATAAGAACATAAGAATGGCCATACTGGGTCAGACCAAAGGTCCATCAAGCCCAGTATCCTCTCATCTGATGCCATTCCTGCCAATCCTGGCCCATCTATCTAGCTCCCTTTTGAACCCCTTTATAGTATTGGCCTTCACAACACCCTCTGGCAAGGAGTTCCAGAGGTTGACAGTGCATTGCGTGAAAAAATTTGCATTGCATGAAAAAATACTTTCTTGTGTTTGTTTTAAACCTGCTATCTATTAATTTCATTTGGTGGCCCCTTGTTCTTGTATTACGAGAAGGAGTAAATAACACTTCCTTATTTACTTTCTCTATACTGCTCATGATTTTATAGACCTCTATCATATCCCCTCCTTAGTCGCCTCTTTTCCAAGCTGAAATGTCCCAGTTTTATTAATCTCTCCTCATATGGAAGCCATTCTATACCCCTAATAATTTTTGTTGCCCTTTTATGAACCTTTTCCAATTCCAGTGTATCTTTTTTGAGATTGGGTGACCACATCTGCACGCAGTATTCAAGGTGTGGGCGTACCATGGATTTATATAGAGGCAGTATGATATTTTCTGTCTTATTATCTATCCCTTTCTTGAGGATTCCCAACATTCTGTTCGCTTTTTTAACTGCCGCTGCACATTGAGTGGATGATTTCAGAGAACTATCCACAATGACTCCAAGATCTCTTTCTTGAGTGGTAACAGCTAATTTAGACCCCATCATTGTATACGTATAGTTAGGATTATGTTTTCCAATGTGCATTACTTTGCATTTAGCAACATTAAATGTCATCTACCATTTTGTTGCCCAGTCACCCAGTTTTGTGAGATCCTTTTGTAGCTCTTTGCAGTCTGCCTGGGGGTTAATTATCTTGAGTAGTTTTGTATCATCTGCAAATTTTGCCACCTTACTGTTTACCCCTTTTTCCAGATCATTTATGAATATGTTAAATAGGACTGGTCCCAGTACAGACCCCTGGGGAACACCACTATTTACCTCTCTCCATTCTGAAAACTGACCATTTATTCCTATCCTTTTTTTCCTATCTTTTAACCAGTTTGCAATCCATGAGAAAACCTTCCCTCTTATCCCATGACTATTTATTTTGCTTAAGAGCCTTTGGTGAAGGCTTTCTGAAAATCTCAATACACTATATCCACTGGATCTCCTTTGTCTGCATGCTCGTTGACCCCCTCAAAGAATTCTAGTAGATTGGTGAGGCATGATTTCCCTTTACAAAAACCATGTTGACTATTTCCCAACAAATTATGTTAATCTACGTGTCTGACAATTATCTTCTTTACGATAGTTTCAACCAATTTGCCCGGTACTGAAGTGAGGCTTACTGGCCTGTAGTTGCCAGGGTCACCTCTGGAGCCCTTTTTAAAAATTGGCGTCACATTAGCTATTCTCCAGTCGTTTGGTACAGAAGCTGATTTAAATGATAGGTTACAGATGACCGTTAGTAGTCCTACAATTTCACATTTGAGTTTCTTCAGAACTCTTGGGTGAACACCATCAGGTCCTGGAGACTTATTACTGTTTAGTTTATCAATTCGTTCCAAAACCTCCTCTAATGACACCTCAATTTGGGACAGTTCCTCAGATCTGTCACCCAAAAAGAATGGCTCAGGTTTGGGAATCTCCATCATATCCTCAACAGTGAAGATCGATGCCAAGAATTCATTTAGTTTCTCCGCAATGACCTTATCTTCTTTGAGTGCTCCTTTAGCATCTCGATCGTCCAGTGGCCCCACTGATTACTGAGCAAGCTTCCTGCTTCTGATGTATTAAACATTTTTTTTGCTATTACTTTTGGAGTCTTTGGCTAGCTGTTCTTCAAATTATTTTTTGGTCTTTCTAATTATATTTTTACACTTCATTTGCCTGAGTTTATGCTCTTTTCTATTTTCTTCATTAGGATTTATCTTCCAGTTTTTAAAGGATGCCTTTTTGCCTCTCACCGCTTCTTTTACTTTGTTGTTTAACCACAGTGGTTTTTTGGTTCTCTTACTATGTTTTTTAAAGTGGGGTATAAATTTAAGTTGAGCCTCTATTATGGTGTCTTTAAAAAGTCTCCACGTGGCTTGCAGGGATTTTACTTTTGGTGCTGAACCTTTTAATTTCTGTTTAACTAACCTCCTTATTTTTGTGTAGTTCCCCTTTCTGAAATTAAATGCTACAGTATTGGGCCGCTGTGGAGTTTTCCCCACCACAGGGATGTTAAATGTAATTATATTATGGTCACTATTACCAAGGGGTCCAGTTATATTCACCTTTTGGACCTGATCCTGTGCTCCATTTAGGATTAAATCAAGAATTGCCTCTCCTCTGGTGGGTTCCTGGACCAGCTGCTCCAAGAAGCAGTCATTTAAGGCATCAAGAAACTTTATCTCAGCATCCCTTCCTGAGGTGATATGTACCCAGTCAATATGGGGATAGTCAAAATCCCCCATTATTATTATTGAGTTTTTTATTTTAATAGCCTCTCTAATCTCCCTGAGATTAAGGCAGGTACCACAATCTGGAAATGGCACAAAAAGAAAGAACTCATTTGGACACTGCATCAGTTCCTAAGGGAAATGTTATGTTCAAAGAAACATTGCACAGCAGTGATGTGTTGTTGTAATCTAAAAAGTTGTGTTATTTTTCAGTATGACTATATGGGTTCAGACAAGGATGTCGTAACGGAGAAAATAGTCCAGCTTATTGGCTTTGTCAACAGTGTAAGTTACTGCCTTTTTTCGTTCAATATTCATATGGGAAATGTGGATGTTTTAATTCATTTTGCTGGTAGTCATAGCCTAGCCGTTAGAGCCGGGGGCTGGGATCAGGACTCCTGGGTTCTATTCCTGGTTCTGTCACCGACCTGCTGTGTGACTTTGCTAAGTCACCTCACATTTCTGTGTCTTTTTCGTCTGTAAATTGGATATAATACACCTCTACCCCGATATAACATGACCCGATATAACATGAATTCGGATATAACGTGGTAAAGCAGTGCTCTGGGGGGGTGGCGCTGCGCACTCCGGCGGATCAAAGCAAGTTCGATATAATGCGGTTTCACCTATAACACGGTAAGATTTTTTGGCTCACCAGGACAGCATTATATCGGGGTAGAGGTGTACCTATCTGTGTATTACATCACAAGGGTTATGTGAGACTTATAATGCTTTGAGAACCTTTGATGCAGATGCAGTAGGAGAAGAAAATATTATTACCACATGAAGTCCAGATATTTTACAGATGATATTATTCTCTGGTGATTATTTAGTATCAGTTTTCACCCTCAGGATACTCAGTCTGCAGCAGTTAGATTAAAAACCATTTTATATTCCTCACCGCCAGGATTAGATCATTCACTCCTGAGAGACATCCGAGACTCCAGGTACTCTCAGCCATCTGAAAATAAAGGGACTTGCAATGTGTCCCCCTTTAGAATTTTTTTATTGTAAAACTGCTCTGACTACCTTAATTGTGGGCACTTGTTACTGTTATGATATCCGTGATGCTATTTCTGTCTTAAGCTTCCTTAGGTTATGTCTGATGGTGTATACAGTATTGGTAGTATGATGAGCCTCAATCTTGGCACCAGATGGGCAATTTTCCAAACTCGACTTTTAACTTGGGTTAGCAGTGCAGTTTAAAGTATATAGGATGATCTGGGATTGAACTCAGACTGCTAACCTCAGTTGAAAGCCAAATTGCTGTGTCTGCACTGATATTTTAGCCTGAGTTAACTAACCCAAGTTAAGAATGCACCTGTTTTTTTGTTCTTTTTTTTGCAGTGTAGACATAATCTTAGTTCTTCTTCGAGTGATTGCTCCTGTGTATTCCACAGTAGGTGTGCGTGCTCGCCACATGCACCGATGCCGGAAGTTTTTCCCTTAGCAGCATCCGTAGTGGGGGAGTACCGCTGCGACCCCTGGAGTGGCGCCGACATATCGTGCTATAGAGGGGGCTGCGTGCTCCCCCCACCCTCAGTTCCTTCTTGCCACTAGTGAAGGTAGTTGGAACTTGTGCTCCAGCTTTGGGTCTCGTCATTGTTGGCACTGCCGTTCCCTCTCCGGCACCTGCCATTGAAGGCACTATGCCTGGAGCTCGTCACGGGAGTCCCAGGCACTGAGGCGTCGTACGGAGGCACTACAGGGACAGCACTCCCGACTCCTACCTGTCCTCCTCCAGGGGCCGGAGACGTCATGTATGGGACCGCTCCAGCCGTTCGTACGGCACCATCTGCTCGTCCCGGACTTCGGCTTCGGCACGCAGCCGCCCCTCATCGAGCCGCTCAGTGCCGCAAGACCAGCTGGCCCTTCCGGGCTACCGCGCGTCCCAGGGCCAGGCCGTTCCCTGGCAGGGACAGTGGTGCCAGTGGGCACCGTGGCCCCAGGCACTGGCACCGCTGGGACCCCGTTCCGTGGTGGGAGCGTCCCAGGCCCAGCCGACGTCGCCGCCTCGGCACCGCGATGAGGCAGTGGACACTGACCCTCTGTCACCGACTCGGGCCCCGGGTCAGGAAGTCGAGCTTTCGGTACAGCCGGGTGCAGACGACACCGCGGCACCAACCTCCTCGGCACCGGATGACTCCATGGTGCCACCACCTCCGGTCTTTCAGGAGGATTTCAAGGCCCACCAGGAGCTACTCAGGAGGGTGGCATCAAACCTCCAGCTCCAGGCCGAGGAGATGGAGAAGCCATCGGATACATTGTTTAATGTCCTGACCTCCTCGACGCCGGGGCGTGTGGCCCTCCCGCTCCATCAGGGGGTGGCCAATATTACTACTGGCTTCTGGCAAACCCCGGCATCTCTCTGTCCGATCTCCAAAAAGGCCGAACAGAAGTACTTTGTGCCCACAAAGGGGCATGGGGCATGGGTACTTATACTCCCACCCAACTCCGAACTCTCTAGTGGTGGAGTCGGTGAACCACCGAGAGAGACATGGCCAACCCGCTCCTACCCCTAAGGAGAAAGACGCTCGCAGCTGGATTCCTTTGGGAGAAAGGTTTATTCGTCTGCGAGCTTTCAGCTCAGAATGGCCAACCACCAGGCACTCTTGAGAGGATATGATTTTAACCTGTGGGGGTCCCTTCCCAAGTTTGAGCCCTCCCTCCACGAGAAGGACAGGAAGGAGTTCCGGGCTGTTGTTGATGAGGGTACGACGGCGGCTAAAGCAGCGCTCCAGGCGGCCTCCGATGCGGCGGACACGGCTGCTCGTTCGATGGCCGCGGCGATTTCCATGAGAAGGGCGTCCTGGCTTTCGCTCTCTGGCCTATCGGCTGAGTCCCAGTCGATCATGCAGGACCTGCCGTTCAATGGTCGGGCCCTGTTTGCAGATCAAACAGACACGCGTCTGCATGGGATGAAAGACTCCTGTACTACCCTGCAGACGCTGGGCCTGTACGTCCCGCCGGCCAAGGACAAGCCCAGGCCTCACACTTCCGCTCCACAGGCTTGGGGTAGATATGAGCCCCTGCCTAAGAAGCAGCGGGATTAGAGGCGCCGGTCATAATGCCAATCCCGTTCGGCCCCTCGTCCGGGGCCCTCTAAGGCCAGGAGGCCAGGGAAGCGGCGTTTTTGACTGCTTGCGGGGGGTCACTGGGCCTGTTGCCAGGTTAACACCTCCCCCCCCAGTTAATAAAGTTCAGGTTTGCAAATCGTTTACCTGCCTTCCGTTTGCGATGGTTCCGTATCACTATGGACCGCTGGGTCCTCAACACTATATCCCTGGGGTACAGGTACAGTTTGTTTCGCCCCCTCCCAATTGCCCTCCGGCCAGGGAGTCGGCGGAGGACCCGGAACATGCGCTCCTCCTAGGTCAGGAGGTACAGCGCCTCCTCTCCCTGGGAGCTGTGGAGAGGGTGCCTTGGGAATTCCGGGGCAAGGGGTTTTATTCCAGGTATTTCCTTATCCCGAAGGCGAAGGGCGGGCTTCGGCCCATCCTTGATCTGCGGAAGCTCAACCAGTTCTTGGTACGCTGTCCCTAGCCGCTATTATTCCCTCTCTAGACCCAGGGGATTGGTTTGCAGTGCTGGACCTTCAGGATGCCTACTTCCACATCCACATTTTCGAGGGTCACAGGCGTTTCCTCCGTTTCCTGGTGGGTCAGGACCACTACCAGTTTACGGTCCTCCCCTTTGGCCTCTCGACGGCCCCAGGGTCTTCACCAAATGTATGGCAGTGGTAGCAGCCCACCTCAGGAGGAGAGGGCTGCAGGTCTTTCCCTACCTGGACGATTGGCTGCTCAAGGGCAAGTCCTGGTCCCAGGTGCAGCAGCAAATATCCCTCTTGCTACGCACCTGCTCTGCTCTGGTCCTAGTGGTAAATGAGGAGAAATCCACGTTAGTTCCTGTCCAGTGCATAGAATTCATAGGAGCGCTGCTGGATTCCCAGGCGGCCACGGCCTGCCTTCCAAGGGACAGGTTCGAGGCGCTCAAAGGCCTCGTCGCCTCGGTCACGGCCTTCCCCGTAACCACGGCTTGGATATGCCTTCAAATCCTCGGCCACATGGCAGCATGCATCACAGTGGTGCAACACGCCAGGCTCCGGATGAGGCCCCTCCAACTCTGGTTGGCCTCCCGCTATTCCCAGGCCAGGGACGGCCTGGACAAGGTTGTCACGGTGCCGCCAACGGTGGTTGCAGACCTCCAATGGTGGTCCCTCCCGAGCAAAATGCTCCGGGGTATCCCCTTCCGAGACCCCTCTCCCTCACTAGATCTAGTGTCGGATGCCTCGGACATGGGCTGGGGAGCCCACATGGAGGACATCAGGACCCAGGGTATGTGGTCACCCAAGGAACTGACCCTGCACATAAATGTCAGGGAACTCAGGGCTGTGCGCTTAGCGTGCCTGGCCTTTCGCCAGCACTTACAAAGGAAGGTGGTCAAAGTCCTCACGGACAACACCATCGCAATGTATTACATCAACAGGCAAGGGGGCACGCGCTCCAGGGCCTTATGCCAGGAAGCCCAATTCCTGTGGGAGTTCTGTATAGCCCACAACATCCTCCTCCGAGCTTTCCACCTACCCGGCAAGAGCAACATGCTCGCAGATCACCTGAGCAGGGTGTTCTCATATCAACACGAGTGGTCCCTGCACAGGGAGGTGGCAGAATGGATTTTCCTTCAGTGGGGCACTCCCCAAGTGGACCTATTTGCCACCGCTCAGAACCGCCTGTGTCCCAGGTTCTGCTCCAGGGTGATAGAAAGCGATGGGGCCATGACGGACGCCTTCCTGCTCGATTGGTCGGGGACCTTATGTACGCCTTCCTGCCCTTCCCCCTGATATGTAGGGTCCTACAGAAGGTGAAATCAGACGGGGCGAGAATTATCCTGATAGCCCCGGATTGGGCCCGTCAACATTGGTACGGGACCTTACTGCAACTCTTGGCGGATCCCCCTTGCAGGCTGCCGCTCTGCCCGGACCTCCTCTCCCAAGAGGCAGGTCGTCTCCTCCATCCCAACCTGGCCCCGCTCCACCTGACGGTGTGGCTGCTCCGTGGCTAGATGCGGAGGAGGGGAGGTGTACCGAGGGTGTTAGACGGGTCCTGCTTGAAAGCAGGAAGCCGTCCACACAGAGGGCCTACCTGGCTAAGTGGTATCGGTTCTCCTCATGGGCGAGGGAGAGAGGTTCCTCCCCCACGTCCGCTCCGCTCCAGCTGGTCCTGGACTACCTCCTGTCCCTTAGGACCCAAGGGCTAGCTCCCTCCTCGATCAAGGTGCACCTGGCGGCTATTTTGGCTTCCACCCTCCGGTGGCAGGACAGTCAGTGTTCTTCCACCACATGACTTCCAGGTATTTAAAGGGTTTGGACAGAGCGTTCGACTTATGCTAGACCCCCAGTTCCCCCTTGGGACTTGAACCTGGTACTGTCACGCCTCACGGGACCTCCCTTTGAGCCCTTGGCCACTTGTTCCTGGTCCCACTTATTTGAGAAAGTGGGGTTTTTGGTGGCTATCACCTCAGCCCGCAGGGTTTCGGAGCTTAGGGCGCTGACCTCGGAACCCCGTACACTGTCTTTTATAAGGGGAAGGTCCAGCTTCGCCCGCACCCGGCCTTCCTACCGAAGGTGGTCTCGGAGTTTCATATGGACCAGGACATCTTTCTGCCTGTCCTGTGTCCTAAGCCCCATTCCTCCAATGAGGAACGATGCCTACACATGCTATATGTGTGTAGGGCGCTGGCCTTTTACTTAGATCGAACAAGGCCATTCCAGACATCCCCTCAGCTTTTCATTGCTACGGCCGAGCGCATGAGAGGGCAACCTGTTTCCACCCAGCGGATTTCCCGCTGGATCACCTCGTGCATACGCACGTGTTATGACCTGGCTGGGGTTCCCCCGCCTCCTATTGTTAAGATGCATTCGACGAGAGCCCAGGCCTCGTCTGCGGCCTATGTGGCTCATGTCCCTATTTAGGACATCTGCAGGGCTGCTACATGGTCCTCTGTCCATACTTTTGCATCGCACTATGTGATCGTCTCCCAAGCAAGGGACGATACCGGGTTTGGTAGGGCGGTGCTCCACCCGGGTAACCCTTAACCTTTATCATTTAGAACTCCTACCCACCTCCGTCAGGTATAGTTTGGAGTCACCGACTGTGGAATACACAGGAGCAATCACTTGAAGAAGAAAGGACAGTTACCTATTCCGTAACTGGCGTTCTTCGAGATGTGTTGCTCCTGTCTATTCCACATCCCACCCTCCTTCCCCTCTGTCGGAGTTGTTTGGCAAGAAGGAACTGAGGGTGGGGGGAGCACGCAGCCCCCTTTATAGCGTGATATGTTGGCGCCACTCCAGGGGTCACAGCGGTGCTCCCCCACTATGGATGCTGCTAAGGGAAAAACTTGCGGCACTGGTGCACGTGGTGAGCACGCACACCTACTGTGGAATACACAGGAGCAACACATCTCGAAGAACGCCAGTTACGGAACAGGTAACTGTCCTTTATTTTAAGTTAACTTGGTCATAAAAAGAACTGTATGCATCATTGTAACCATGTTGGTCTCAGGATATTAGAGAGACAAGGTGAGTGAGGTAATATCCTTTATTGGACCAACTTCTGTTAGTGAGAGAGACAAACTTTTTGAGCGCACACGGAACTGAAGAAAAGCTCTTTGTAAGCTTGAAAGCTTGCCTCTCTCACCAGCAGAAGTTGGTCCAATAAAAGATGTTACCTCACTCACCTTGTCTCTCTAATAAAAAGAACCAACAGTTGTGATGCACTGAGAATTTATTTTGATTGACTAGGTTGAAAAGGATTGATATGGACTAAGATGTTGGATTTTAGGATCTTTCAGTACTGTGTTTTCCATAACATAGATTACAACATTTTATTATGGGGACATCTGTGGTTATACACTCTGTGATGGTCCAACCCATAGTTTGCTACATTTGTCCCTGATGGCCATTGCTTATAGGTCTTACAATACTACAGTGCATATCATGTAATTTAACTTGTATTTCCTCTGTTACATTTTCAGATGTTTACCCCTCTTAATATGACAATTGTACTGTCTTCATTGGAATTCTGGGCAGATAGTAACAAAATTCCTACAACAGGGGAAGCTGATGAATTATTACGAAGGTTTTTACAGTGGAAAAATATCCATCTTATTCTACGGCCACATGACATAGCATATTTATTTGTGTAAGAAAAACATTACTTTATTATTAAAGATGCACTAGAAATCTTTTAGACTGTCATTGCTTTTAGAAAGAATATATTTATGATCAAGAATCTTTTTTTGTGCTTTAGTTACAGGGACCAACCAAATTATGTAGGGGCATCTTTTGCAGGAAATCTGTGTCTGAGAAACTATTCCGGAGGGGTTGCTCTGGTATGAGATAATAGAATCTACTTACCTGTATAATTAATATACTGTATCGGTTACTTACAGTTCTGACCTTTGCTTGTAGGGGCAAATCTTGCACCCACCTCTACAACTAAGAAGAATCCCCTGGCAACAGAATCAATGCAGCTATGCTGTGAAGGGGGAACACAGAATTTACAGAGCCATTCAGAGGTTAAACACCATTAGAAGAGGAGCCTTGTCTCACATGCTGTGGAGCAGCATGCAGGGGATGATGAGATAGGAATGGAGCCAAAGGATATCCTTGTTTGGGGGGGTCCTCTGGTCTTCTGCTCTGGGCAGTGGCTCCAAAAAGGCATCACAGATTATTTGAGCCATGGGGCTCGGTAGCCACTCCATAGGATCAGATGGAAAGATTCTTGCCCCTGCACTTCTACTCTGCACTCATCTTGTCTACTTAGCCTAGGCACTGCACAGAGGATTCGACCTCCAGTGAATAAGTACATTAATGAGTGTTTGAATTCAGGATTACATATGTTCTTTGTAACTTTCTTCTAATCCTGGAAGGGGACAGAGCAGTTGCCTTACAATGGAGTATGCGTTCCTTCATATATTATGTCTAGTACAGATATCTTTGTGTACTTTAGGCAGGGCAGAAAACAAAAAATTTAGATTTTTATCACAGTTTGTTTCCACAGTTGAATGAACTTTTAGTACTTTCTTTCTTATTATATTAGTATCAAAGAACAATAACACTGGAGACATTTTCAGTCATCATTGCACAGCTGCTCGGGCTTAGTCTGGGAATAGCATATGACGATTCTAGGGACTGTCAGTGTTCAGGATACACCTGCATAATGCATACCAAAGCAGTGTAAGTTTTTTTTAAAAAAATATTATTAATTTATGTACCTCACATAGCATTACATTATTTATTATATTTAGAACCGTTTTAATATGCTTACAAGTGCTATCATTCTAAATAATGCCATATTAGGATGTATGTAGACTTTTGTACCTGTATATCACTGTTTTAAATCCATCACAGTTCATTAGTGGCTGGAAGTTGTGTGTGTGCGCCTGTGTGTGTTGGGATAGTTTGGATATATGGAAACATACCAACAAAGAATAGGACTGTGACCTATAGATAGATGGATGGATATCTAGATAGATATAGGTATAGGTCACAGTCCTCCTCTTTGTTGGTATGTTTCCATATAACCAAACTATACCAACACAAATGTCATCAGCTGGGAATCTCTGCAGAGGAGCCAACAGACTGACTTACTTTCTCATCCCGGAGATGGTCCCACAAGATTTAAAGCAGATTAGTGACATAGTGCAGGAAAGCTTGCTCTATTGTTGCTTGTCATGTGCATAAAGGGAGTAATTCAGTCTGAGGCTGCCTGTCAGTCGGGTACTTGCCATGAACACTAAGTTGATTTAAAAATTTAAAATAAATAAATAGTACTTTCAGAGACTAACAGTAACAGGAAACATTTCACTTTTCACTTAAGTACAAAATCTCTCTCCTCTTTTACATCCTATTTCTCTATCTAAGCAGTTGTTGATAACAATGTGACTTTTAATGTCTATGTTCCCGCCGAGCTACAGTCTTGAAATTAAATACACTAATTCATGATGTGCCACTGAATACAGGAAAAGCCCTAACTTGGACCTTCAGAGATCATATGGTCTTTTATTATCAAATTTCAAATGTTCAGTCACTCTTCGTTTAAAACTAGTCTACACTTCTCCGTTTTCTCCACCATTTTTTTAAGCTTTCCAGTTTATGCTATGTACAGATGTGTACTCACTATGGGCCCAATCGTGCAAACTCTTATGGATGTAAGTAAGTTTACTCACATGGTTAGTTCTATTACGTAAAATTACTCGAGGGCCTAAATGTTTCTAATATTAGCATATAATGTAATCTGTCATTAAAATATAATTTACTGAGAGTTCCGTCTTCTTGTGAGATGCTATATTGTCTGTGATGACAAGAGGAGGGAAAGGAGAGACGATTGTACCAGCCCCATAAGCTCAGCCCCACCCCCCAATGTTTGTAATGGGAATGTCTGAACTGGGGTGAAAAGGGAGGGGATGGGACCCCAGCAAACATGATGTACTGGGGCTCCAAATTTCTCTCAGTGGGCTTGTATGTGTTAATACACTCAATTCAATATAACCACTGATGATAGGAAAGAAAAAATAATCTGATATTTATGTTATAGGTTTCCTAATTGTAACTGCTAGATTGATTACTATTAAACTAACCTCAATTGCTCAATTTTCACTGAGGAGAATAAACAAGTGTTCTGGAAGAGACAGAAAAGGAAGGGCCTGCGGTATCTTTAGTGTAGAGATTGAGACAGTAACAGTTTAGAAAGGTTTTGCTGCTCTGCTTATGTTTTCCTAGTTTAAAGAGGGCATCCTCCATTGCATGTTATGCCTGCTTCTTGCCCACAGTTGGCTGCAGCATGCAGTCTGCCTGGGACCCAAACACCATTCTAGCACAAACTTGCAAACATATTTTAAAAAATTATATTTATTCCTTCATTGAGGCAGACATGCTGGGTATGAGGCCTCCAATTTGGAGAAATTATGTTAATTTGAGGTTGCCAGTTCTATTTAATTTATTTTAGCCAAGAAGAATGTTGATGGCAAATCAATGCACTTAAGGTGCCAAGTTAATAGCCACATTCAACCGCAAGGCAGACAGTTGACATATTGAAACAAATCCTTAATTTTGCAACCAAAGTCATTTTTGCTTTATGAGAGTATTTCAGTGGCATGAAAGGATATACATTTTACAAAGCATGGAGAATATTTTAACGATGACATTGTACTTTATGTTTTAGACATTCCAGTGGGACAAAGGCCTTTAGCAACTGCAGTATAGGAGACTTTCAAAGTTTCATTGCAAATGGAGAAGGAGAATGCCTTTTGAACAAACCGTATTTGAATGCATCTTATAGAGCTCCCGTCTGTGGCAACAAAATAGTGGAGGAAGGAGAGGACTGTGACTGTGGCACAAAAAAGGTTAGGAAATAAATCCCTGAAATTTAATATGAATAAATAATTCACAGTTCCACACCTTGAGACTGAAGAGAAAATTAAATATAAGAGATACCTTTTGGGTCCAAGAGGTGCTAACAAGACCTCTGGATGAAAGGCCTACTGGAGCCCTTTAGAAAAACCATTCAACTTTGGAATGCTATGGAGGTGGTTGTTCTCAATCTCACAGTCAGAGTTGTGTTCTGAAATGAGCTTTAAAATGGAACATACATTTCTGTTTTTCTCTAAATGTAGATAGATGTTCAGTGTGAAATTTCCCTTTGAATTTCAAATGTAGCTTTATTAGATTTCTTAAATTTATAATAGAAAGTATTTGAAATTATTGTTGTTGAAATTTGTCCATGGCATTCTGCCTTTTTGATTAAGTGACATTTTCAAAATTGATAAACTTGAAGGAAGCTCGTGCAACAGATGTTATTTATTTTAACTGACAGTTTATTCACCAACAGGTAGCTGATAGATAAAACCACCATCGTTAACTACGCTTTTATGCCATATTTTATCCCATATCTAAGTACGTTTTATGTGAAGCTACTGACAGATAAAACCTTTGCCTTTGGCAGCTATACTTCTGTGGCACAGCTCCAGGAACCACCTCTACAGGCATACCCTTCCTTCACCTCATCTGTCTCCTCTCTGAAATGTTAAGACAAGTGTCCATCTCAATGTATCTACAAGGTACTGTGTACTATAGGTCCAATCCAGGGAAGCACTTAAACATGTGCTTAACTTTAAAAATATGAAAAAAGTCAATGAAACTACTCATATAATTAAAGTTAAACACTTGGTTAAGTACTTTGTTGGCTCAGATCAGAGAGCTCAGCAGCTTGCAGGATTAAGCCCCATAAAAGCCCTAGGAAATGAATTATACAAAAAAATTCATTGTGAAAACAGTTAAGAACACTATATGCTGGTTTTCTATCACACCCTTCACCAATCTACTCCCTCCCAACAAAACATTCCTCCCTCCATAAACACACACCCTAACTCTACTACAATTAGTATACACCAGAGACCATCTACCACAATGTTATCTGCCCCTTCTTGGGATGACAGCCTTCCATTACCTCCATTACTAATCTACTCCTTCCCAACACAAAAATATACTATATTAGACATTCACAACTAATAGCATTGAGATGGGGAAGTTCCATAAAAGGATGTGTACAGAAGGGGAGGTTGAGGAGATAGAGTTAAGGTTGCGATCCATGATCTGTGGTGTATGGCAGTTGTGATGAAGATAAAATGTGTGCCTATGGGTAGAAGAGTAGAGGATATGTACTGTAAAGTGACTTTTAATTTCCTTTTGTGTTTTTGTATTATGTGTGTAACAACCATAACTGTTTTTATATACTAATAATATTTGGTTTGATACTGGTAGGTCAGCAAATGTTCTCCGGCACTAAAGTTTTGAAACAGTACAGTGACTTTCTGCTTATTTTAGAGACAGTAGCCTCTCTGTAGTTAAGGTTGGAGCTATTGCACCATTCTATTATAAACCCCTCCTAACTTCACCAAAACTTAAACCAGTCTAGCTGAAATTGCTTGGTAAACTGGGTGCAAGCAAACAATATGTGTTTTAATACTGCCAAATGTAAATGTACACATCAAGGAACAAAGAATGTAAGCCATACTTACAGTCTGGGGGACTCTATCCTGCAAAGCAGTGATTCTGAAAATGATTTGGGGTCCTGGTGAATCAGCTAAACATGAACTCCCAGTGCGATACTGTGGCCAAAAGGGCTAATGTAGTACTTGAATTTATAAACGGGAATCTCTAGTGGGAATAGAGAGATTATTTTACCTTGTATTTAGTCCTGGTGTGACCACTACTGGGATACTGTGTCCAATTCTGGCGTTGACAATTCAAGAAGGATGTTGATAATTGGAGAGGGTTCAGAGAAGAGCCAAGAGAATGATTAAAGGATTGAAAAACATGCCTTATAGTGATAGTCTCAAAGAGCTCCATCTATTTAGCTTAACAAAGAGAAGGTTCAAGGGTGACTTGATTGCAGCCTATAAGTACCCACATGGGTAACAAATATTTAATAATGGGCTCTTCAGTCTGGAAGACAATGGCTGGAAGTTGGAGCCAGCTAAATTTAGATTGGAAATAAGGCACATATTTTTAACAATGAGGATAATTAACCATTGGAATATGTAGCGGGGCGGTCACCCCACTCCGGTATGGCAGGGGTTAAAAACTGCCCTGGGAAAGGGCTGCCCCAGGGAGCCAATTAGGAGCGGGTTTGAGACAGCCAATCAGGGCCGGGCTGGGAGTATAAGAGTCACAGTCTCTCTCCAGCCTTGGACGGAGAAGGACCTAGCTGCCTGGGAGCACAGGGTACCTGACACAGAGCAGTGCTGGGGAAAGGCAAGAGGAGTTGGGGAGCTCCAGGCCGAGGCCTTGGTTAGGGCCGAAGCAGGGATGGGCTACAGAGGTGTACCCTAGGGATAGGCAGAGGCAGTTGGTCCTACCCCCTTGCCAGTGATGAACGGCCATTAAAGACTGCAGTCAGCCCCAGTGAGAGGGGGCTAGATGATGACTGGCAGTAGCCACTGAGGCAAGATGGTCTTAGAGGGTTGGGGGTTCCCCTGGGAGGGGAGACCCAGAGTGTGGGGGTACTGCTGGGGCAGAACCCCGAGGTAAAGGGGCACCAGGGTCCAGGAGGGACGTGGGGGTCTGAAGCAGGTGAGCCACTAGCTGCCAGAGGGCGCTCCAAGGCTGGAAAAGAGCTAATTGCCAGGACGACCAGCAGGAGGTGCCACATCGGTGAGTCTTTTGACCTTGCTACAGAATAACTTACCAAAAGTGACGGTGGATTTTCTTATCACTGACCATTTAAAAATCAATATTGGATATTTTTTCTAAAAGGTTTGCTGTAGTTCAAACAGGAAATATATTGGGAATTTCTATAGCCTGTGTTATGCAGGAGGTGTTGTAATAATTGGGCCTACAAATTAAAACTTACCTTATTTGTGGACTCAACTGTGAGAAGTGAAAGTTCATAAAATGTAATAATACCTATAACAAAATATTGTTAGAAAAATGTGTAAAAGGAGACAGAATGACTAAATTAGTTGAAACAAGCCTATTAAAGGACTGTGTTAAGATCATGTCTGGCAAACAAGAGAAGTGTGGAACCGGAAAGTAATGAACAAAAATTGGAGTGTCAGAAATTAGGCCTAATTGATATGTTGAATAAAGAGAAGATGAGCTATTCTGCCTATCACTCCCTTTTGGGGTCCCTAGAAGAAGAGACTTTGGGCAAAGAATCAGGCTGTTTGTCAACCACTGCTGGCTGGGAGATGGGAAAACTGGAAGGAGCGAGCCTCACCATCATGGTCAAACACATACAGTCTATGGAGGACTGTTGCAAGAGCCAGATTGATCATGGTTGATAGCATCACACTAGGCATTGTATAGTGAAGTTCCCAGATCTGTCTCAGTAATGCGAATCCATGAATCTCTGGGGTGGCCTCATGGATTGCGCAAGGTAGGCCAGGATGTGCACCCCTTCATGTATCGATGGAGAGTTTGAGAACACCGTGTGCTGGGGTGTTTTTGTCCATTCTGGTGTCTTGGCCGAAGAGCATGCAGTGTTGCTTTTGAATATAATGAGCTATTGAAGGAAGGCCGAATCTCTGTGAGATTGTGACATTTCACACAAACCACTTTGTACTTGGATTTGGCTCAGACAGCACATATGGAATGCCTCTAGCTCAGAGGTGGGCAAACTACTGCCCTCAGGCCACATCCGGCCTGTGGGACTGTTCTGCCCGGCCCCTGAGCTCCTGCCCTGGGAGGCTAGCCCCCAGCCCCTCCCCTGCTCTTCCCCCTCCCCCGCAACCTCAGCTCACTGCGCCATGGGTGCAATGCTCTGGGCGGCGGGGCTGCGAGCTCCTGGGGCAATGCAGTTGCAGAGCTCCGCTTGATCCAGTGCTCTGTGCTGCGCAGTGCGTGGCTAGCTCCAGCCAGGTGACATGGCTGTAGCACTGCCAGCCACCGGTGCTCCAGGCAGCGTGGTACGGGGGCAGGGAGTGGAGGAGGGGGGTTGGATAGAAGGCTGAGGAGTTCGGGCGGTGGTCAGGGGCCAGGGGTGTGGATATGGGTGGGGGCGGTCAGAAGGTGGGGAACAGGGGGGTTGAATGGGGGCAGGGGTTCCAGAGGCGGTCAGGGAGAAGGGGTGGTTGGATGGGGCAGCAGAGGGCAGTCAGGGGTGGGGGTTCCAGGGGCAGTCAGGGGACAGGGAGAAGGGGGGGTGTATGGGGCAGGGGTCCTGGGGGAGGCAGTCAAGAAGGAGGGGGGGTTGGATGGGGCGGTGAGGAGCAGTGATGGGGGGCAGTTAGGGGCGGGGGGTCTGGGGGCGGTCAGGGAGAAGAGATGGTTGGATGGGGCAGGGGTCCCAGGGGGCAGTCAGGAAGGAAGAGGGGGCTTGGATGGAGCAGTTAGGGGCAGGGGGTCTGGGGGTGGTCAGGGGACAGAGAGCAGGATGGGTGGATGGGGCAGGAGTCCTGGCCGGGGGCGAGAAGCAGGGTGGGGTCAGATAGGGGTCAGGGGCCAGGCCATACCTGGCTGTTTGGGGAGGCACAGCCTCCCCTAACTGGCCCTCCATACAATTTCTGAAACCCGATGCGGTCCTCAGGCCTAAAAGTTTGCCTGCCCCCGCTCTAGCTGCTCCAAGTCTTCCCGCAAGAGGCTCCAGGTTTCTGACCTATATAGCAATACAGGTAGTACACAGATTTGATAAATCCTGAACTTTGTCTCAGTGCAATGATATTTTTACATCCATAATTGAGACCTGGATTCCATACAGGAGGTGGCAAGACCTATTTGTCAAATAATGTCTGGTTCGCGGTGACTGTTTGAACTCCGCTTGTAGTCTAGATAGATGAACTCATCGGCGCTTTCCATGTTGTGCTTCAGTACGGGAATTAAAATACCACTGTGGCCTCAAGTGCAGACGTTAAAATGTCAACTTTGGAACTGCTACTACTACTAATACTTCCAGAAGCCTTCTGCCAAAGCTTAGTTACCTCAGATATCTGGGTCCTTGGCATTATTCAGTAAGCCATGAGCTGAGGCTTTGGGAACTTCCTCCAAACTGCCCCCTTGAGAATGTTTTTGAAATGCCTCCTGTCAGAAAGGGACTTTTAATTAACTTCTTTCCTTGGGGGAAAAAAGAGACTTCCATTTCCAGAGTCACCAAACTGGTATCTTTTGCCAGGATTAAAATGTGGTATATTCTAAAACAGTGGTTCTCAAACTTTTTTACTGGTGACCCCTTTCATATAGCAAGCCTTTGAGTGCGACCCCCCCACCTTATAAATTAAAAACACTTTTTTATATATTTAACCCATTATAAATGCTGGAGGCAAAGCGGGGCTTGGGGTGGAGATTGACAGCTCGCAACCCGCCATGTAATAACCTTGCAACTCCCTGAGGGGTCCCAACCCCCAATTTGCGAACCCCTGTTCTAAAATCTATAATGTTTCTATGGTTTATTTTCAGGAATGTCTATGGAATCAGTGTTGCCGACACACCTGTAAATTTAGACGAGACATCAAATGTATCAGTGGAGATTGTTGTTGGAAATGTAGGGTAAGCTATAAATTCTGAGTGATCAGAACATAACACATTTTCTAACTATAACCCACATATCTAACAATAGCCCCGATACTTAATGCTTAACTTTAAGTATGTGAATAATCCAGTTCAATACTTAGGAGTATTTAGGATTGCGGAAAATTGTGCATACTATATATTATTGCTTACTATACTTACGTACAGAAAGAACCAGAGAACAAGTCACTCTTGACATATCAAGCTATCTAAAATATTGTCAAAATTATATTGATAATTCAAGGCAATATTGTAAATGAGACCTGACGGAAGCAGTTGTATAAACACATACTTAATACTCTATCTGAGCACTTCCAATAAAAGTGCACATGCCATAGGAGTTAAGCAGAGGCCAATGACTCAAATGACCAAACAGGAAGCGGATCTTCACTTTGTATCATGGGATCAGCTTTTTGTTATTCAAGTCATCAAACAAAAACTTGTTTTTAAAAACAAAAAGCTGAAAGGCTTAGCTCTCTTATGTTTTTAAAAAAAGTGTTTCTAGTTGTTAGGTTTTCCTGTTATGTTGACTAATCAGTATAAATATCAAATATTTTGATTTGCATAAATTCTGTTCCTTAGTAGTTATAATTAGAGCTGATTGGAAAAATGTCAATGAAACCATTTTCAGTCAGAGAGTGCAGTTCTGTCAAAGTCTAAATGCTTTGAAAGATCATGTAAATTTTGTCTAAATTTAAAGAGAAAACAAGGGAAAAGAATTCTGACAATATAATTTCAATTCTTTGTCTTTAATATTTTTATTTGATATATTATGTAATATTAAAATAAAAATTGTGAAATCAAAATGAAACATTTAGATCAACTTTAAATGATTTCCCCCATGCTATTTTCTTTCATAGAGAAATTTGAAGTGTGGGGGGTGTTGTTCCTAATCAGAAGACAGGTATCAGAATCTTGAAATCCTTTGCAAATCTCCATCCTCCACACAGCTCTAGTTATAACCTTTCTATATATCATGAACCGGCCCCCTATTTCTGTTTTTTTTCTACTAGTTTGTGCAAAAGGGTACATTATGTAGAAGCACTAGCGAAGATGATTGTGATCTAATAGAGTACTGCAATGGTTCCTCTGCACACTGTACACCTGACTTCTGGGTCATGGATGGGCACCCATGCAACCGTAATACAGCCTATTGTTTCAAAGGAGTGTGCCAAACTGCTGATAAACAGTGTAAAAAACTCTTTGGTAAAGGTAATAATGATAGTTATTTGTTTCCAAAATATAATTCTAGTGAATGCTATTATCAATGTTTCTACCTTATGAAGGTGGATAATTATTATTTGTCACAGACGACATAACTAAGCACAGATACTTGAGGCAACTTGCGTGGACGCACTGTGGTTTTCTGGATAAGACTTGGGTTTATGGCATCAAAGATCTGGGTTTTGTTCACAGCTTAGCCACAAACTTTCTAGCTAACTTTGAGTATTTCCCTTAACCTTTTTATGCTTCAGTGACTACATGGGTAAAATATGGATAACTATATTTTATTCCTCTGGTGGTGCTGTGAAGCCTGCCTGCATAAAATACATGTATGTAGTGCAGAGATTTATTAAGACCAGTCAGTGTAAAAGGTGAGACTAGAACTCATGACTACCTGAATCCTAGCAGCCTGCTCATTCCCCTAAGTCCAGAGGGCATTTTGGTTGGGGGGAGTGAAGAGGAGATAATGGCGCTGGTATTTTGGTGTGAAGAGTTTTTGTTTTTTTTAACCATGTCATGGACTTTCTAAAATCATTTGTAAAGTTGCTTTGGTTGGTTTGGAGCAATTAGAAGGCCTGGTTAATTCACTGTGAAGCTAATTTAGTTTCAGAAACTTGCTATGGATACTCCAAGTTAGCCTGTAAATTAGAATTTAGCAACATTTCCTATTATGTATGTGACTGAACAGAATTTCTAGTGGCCTTAACTGTTATCATACACCCACATTTTATGAAGATTAGAAAGATGCATACCACACATTAAGGCTATCATGGAAAGTGTTTTGCAGCCATAACTATAGCAGTTGCTGTAAACATTATTATATTAGCAAAAACAACGATTAGTCCTTGTGGCATCTTAAAGACTAACACATTTATTTGGGCGTAAGCTTTCGTGGGCTAGAATCCACTTCATCAGATGAATGGAGTGGAAAATACAGGAGCAGGTATAAATACACGAAAAGATGGGAGTTGCCTTACCAAGTGTGAGGTCAGTCTAACGAGACAATTCGATTAACATAGGATACCAAGGGAGGAAAAATAACGTTTGTAGTGGTAATGAGAGTGGCCCATTTCAAACAGTTGACAAGAAAGTGTGAGTAACAGGGGAAAATTAGTAGGGGGGAAATTAGGTTTAGGTTTTGAAATGACCCAACCACTCCCAGTCTTTATTCAGGCCTAATCTGATGGTGTCCAGTTTGCAAATTAATTCCAGTTCTGCAGTTGGAGTCTGTTTTTGACGTTTTGTTGTTGAAGAATTGCCATTTTTAGGTCTGTTATTGAGTGATCAGGGAGACTGAAGTGTTCTCCTACTGTTTTTTGAATGTTATAATTCCTGATGTCAGATTTGTGTCCATTTATTCTTTTGCGTAGAGACTGTCCAGTTTGGCCAGTGTACATGGAAGAGGGGCATTGCTGGCACATGATGGCGTATATCGCATTGGTAGATGTGCAGGTGAATGAGGCTTATATTAGTAAGCCTAATGAGATGATCTGATGGGTCTTTGCCATCCTTGTCCAGGCTGATCTGGTTCATAAAATGCTGTCAACCTGCAGCTACAAGGCCCCTTACTTCATCAGAGACAGGTTATTTACTCCTGGTGTATGGAATAAAAGATGCTTCATGCCAACTCTGGTGCTAACAACCGGAGCCCTCTCCTTGCCCCTAACTGGAACACATTACAGGTTCCACATGTGGACCGCCATATCTTCTGTTTAATAGGAAAGCTCTATACCTATTCCTTTAACTCCAGAAACAACGTACACACGTTTTAGACACATTTCCAACGGTTGTCAAACACTCTCAGTACCACACCTGACACATATACCTTCCTATGGTAGAGCACAGGATTGGCTTTAGAGGTTCTGCTGATCTAGGTAAATAAATACCTCTACCAGTCTATAGTCACCCAAATAAACAATTACTGAACATTTTTCTACCACTAATTTTTGCTGCGCTAGGCAATTGCCTGTTCTGCCTGTTTTTTGATGTCAGCCTTGTCAGAGCATTTTGGGACTAATGAAAAAGAGAAGGTTGCCCACTTGTTCTAGGAGGAGGCCATAACTGAATAGCTGTGAAGGAAGCCCAAGTTTGTCTTGTAGCAACCCTGTGTCTGTGACCAGCAAACTAGACTAGACAGTGCACCTGAAGACATTGCAGAGAACAATTCTGCACTGGCATGTGCTAGATGTTCCAACAAAGCATTTCCCAATTCTGACTACTGTAAGTCTATTACGAAATCTAATCAATGTTATTGTATTTGTAGCTTCAAAAAGTGGCTCTCTCGCATGTTATGAAGAAATTAATGGTCAAAAGGATAGGATGGGACACTGCGGCTCCACTCAGGCGGGTTACCAGACTTGCGAATGGAAGTATGTTTTGACAAATAGAAATGTCTCCCTATAGGAGTAGTACAAGATGAAGCATGACATCTTGGCTGATTGTGTTGAAAGTAACTCGGGATTTTGAAAATTTTTAGCGGGTTTGTTTCTGAACTTTGCTTCTGTACACTAGAGTTCAGAAACAAAGTGGTTAAAAAAATAAAAGTAATTTTTCCTGTGTTACAGTGTTTGCCGGTGATCTTTAAATTGCCTACTTTCCTTTGGCATATTGGCACTGGACTGTGACATGCTAGATTGCTGGTCTATTTCATCTGCCATACTAGGTAGCAGTGAAATTACTGGATGATGTTACTGTAATAAGAGAAATTCTCATACAAGCATCATGATCAAAATGTTCTCTAATGTCTTCTTACCCAACCAGCATACCATCATATGGAGAAACTGTCCAAAAGAATTAGGCAGGGTGGAGGAATTCGACTGCAGCTTGATTGCCAGTTGACGTTCCACCACTACTGCCCAAAAGGAGCAGGCAGTAGCTTGCTTGCCCAGTGGCAGATTACCAGTATGCTGATTTAGGCTTTTAGGCCCAGATCCTCAAAGGTATTTAGATACCTAACGCCCATTGTTATCAGTGCCTAAATACCTTTGAGGATCTGTATGGTCTTCTCCACTCAGAGACGTTATTTAATTGAAAACCATGGCATCTTTTAAGTATATGTAAACAGCTGCTGGCCTGTTTTCCCAGCTCAGGAAGAGCTCACTGCCATCCCCACATCTTTTTCGGGGCACAGCTTTACTCTTTAGCAGAAAACTCAGGCAAAGTATCAAACCAAAACAGTTTCTCTGCCCACCATAGGCTACAGCTCCCACATGCTTTTTCCCCACTTGGTTCTCTCAGTACTGAAAGGAGGACACACATGCACTTTAGTCCCTCTGCTTCAGGGTCTATTGCAGGAGCCTCTCTCCCACCTGCAGCTCCTCTTCAGCTGAGCCACTTGCTGGTTTTATAATCATTTGCTTCCTTCCAGCAAGGTCTGAAAATTGAACAGGGCTGGCCAGCCCCAGTCTTCTTGGACCCTAATGGGGCAAGGCACCCTGTTACACAGTATACTTTTGCTGACCTATTCTGTTCTTCTATAGGGTTTATACTTTAGGTCTACCTAGTATCCCGTCTGACAAAGCCTAGGCAGAGGGAGAACTAAGATGACTGTTTATTAAGCAAAATGTCCTTGTTTTACTGTTAGCTCCTTCTCTCTGTTTGCTTCAGTAGAAATCTAGATTGTGATCCCTCTAGGGCAGATAATATCTTTTTAACTTGTTTGTACAGTGTCTAGCATAATAGGGTTCTCATTCTCAAATGGGGGCATTAATGCTATCGTAATACAAATAGTAAATAACAATCCCATTGATTATTGTCATCCCAGCATGGTTCAGAAATTCCTATTTTGTGTAGATTCTCTTCACTTGCCAGGCATTTCAGTTCACCTATTTTTGCCTTTATGATAAATGCTTTGATATACAAACATTTGGAGTCTATATACTTTAAACTTTACATTTCCTCTTGCCCTACAGAAATTAAAATTGAAGCAAAAACTATTAACTTGAAACTGGAATGTTTTATTGTTGATAAAATACTTTCAAAAGACGCTTTAAAACTTTTTTAAAAATCTGCTTCTAAATTAATTTTGATGGGCTCTGAGGGGTGCAATTTATTTTAATTTAAAAATGTTATCTCCACTATCTAGTCCTGTGGGCAAAACAAACAAACAAACAAATTAATCAGACAACTGGCTGCATAAAAAAAATCACAAACTGACCACTAACTCCATACCATGATAAAAAAGCAAGGAAGTGAAAAACGTTATTCCTAACCAAAGTGACCCGAAGAGTCCTTGCAAATGTAACCACTTTATTTCAAGCAGAGTAGATTGGTGGACTTTGCAGCATTCCCTGAAGAGTCAAGACTAACAAATTTTACTCCTGGGGAAATTCTGCACCACTGCACATGCGCAAAATTTATGTCCCCACACAGATTTATTTGTTTCCCTGCAGAAAAATGACTTTCTGATGGGGAAGCAAAGGGAGCCACAAGAGTGGTCATGCAGCCCTCCCCAGCTGTATGTTTCGGGTGCCCAGGGAACTGGTAGAGAGTGGCCTGTGCTCCCCAGTGCCATGCTGGAGCTTCCATATTTATTTGACAAATAAAATTTACAGAATTTTAAAATATTGTGCTTGGCATTTTTTTTTTTGGCACAGAAGTAAAATTCAGGCTTCATTGAGCCAACACAGGAAACAAATTCCAGCATTGTGGTCCCTCTAGTAAGAACAGCCTGTCCTCAGTCAGTGATATATAAATCTAGGACTTCTGGCAAGAAAATATCAGCTGTCATTGTGGTATTATGTGGGAAGAAGTGTTCTCTCAGGTGTCCCTCTGGTTTTGCCACAGTATCGGGATGCTTTGGGAAGGTGCTTCACATGGAGGAGGAGCCTAGACACTAATTTTTTAAAACCCTTTTTTTACTGTGCATGGAATATTTCACATGTGCAACAGTCTCTGTGTTTTATATATGTCATAGCAGTACTTCTTTAAGTAATACATGGGGAATGAAATTTAATAATGGGCTCTTCAATCTAGCACACAAAGGTGTAACAAAATCCAATGGCTGGAAGTTGAAATAGTCAAATTCTGGCTGGAAATATGGCACACATTTTTAACAGTAAGGGTAATTAACCATTGAAACAACTTACCAAGCTTGAGGTGGATTCTCCAAGCTTGGTGTTTTGCATCAAGGGACCAAAGCAAACCTAAGGGATCCCAAAAATTGAGCCCTCTGTACAGAGTATAGTTATCCCTTCTCACAGAAATTATGGTATGCTTGAATATTTAATATTTTGAACTATTATATGCCAAATATGTAATTTTAATTTTCTTCTCATATGTTTGTAGGGATCTCCAGTGTGGGAAGTTAATTTGTCAATATCCGAGTAATAGACCATTCATTAAGGAAAAGGCTGCTGTCATTTATGCTAGGGTGCAGAATTCCTTATGCATAACTTTAGATTATATGAAGGGGCCTCAAGTGAAGGATCCAATGTTGGTGAAGGATGGTACTCTCTGTGGTAAGCAAAAGGTAACAAATCTTTTTTTAAACTGTTAGCAATGTAAATGTTTTCCATGTAAACATACACTTTTTAGAAGTTGCTAGTAATATTGGAGCAATGATGAGCCGCACTGGCTTACTGAGTTATAAAATTAACTGTTTTGTCCCCTGATTTACTCTAAACTAGCCAAGAACTATTTCCAAATATTTTGAGATAAAATAGGATCTGGTAAACAGCTTTCTGCTCTTAAACAGCCTGAAAAGGACCATCAAACATAGAGAATTTTTTTCTATGCTTTCTGTTGACCTTGAATTGTATGTATGTTTGGCTTTTAGATTTGTATGAACCAGAAATGTGTAGATGCTGCTGTCCTGAAATACAACTGTGATGTAAAGAAAAAATGCAATGACCATGGAGTAAGTAACAGCACGTTATTATTATTATAATATTGTTTAGATTAATGATATTTTGGATTTGCAGATATTTTCCTTATAAATTGCCAACTGAAAAAGCAACTTTGGGCTGACACTTAGCATGCAAAGTCTTCGTGCCATGGCTAATTGGTTTGGTTTTTCCTGATACTTAGAGTCATATTCTTGGTTTTCTTTCTAGACAATAGTCTGTGGTACTTTATATTTGATGTGTTTTCTGAAACAGACAGTTGATTAGTTTTTAAGAATTGAGAATTTGGTTATAAAGAAGAGAGATCTTGAAGTAAAACGGTTTCCTAAAAGCATGTGTAATGGGATTTCCCCATATTTTGAGACTTCCAGCTACAAAGTATAAAAAGTAATTAAACAGGATTTCCCCCCTTTTATTTCAGGTGTGCAACAACAGAGGAAATTGTCACTGTAGGTCTGGCTGGCTGCCACCAGATTGCAAAATTTCATCAAAAGGATATGGAGGGAGTATTGACAGTACTTTCAAAAGTGGTTAGTTATCTTGGGAAATTCTGTACCCTGTGTTGGTTTTTTCCCAGTGAAACATTTAAGAAAATAAGAATGGCCATACTGGGTCAGACCAATCATCCAGCTAGCCCAGTATCCTGTCATCCAACAGTGGCCAGTGCCAGATGCTTCAGAGGGAGTAAACAGAACAAGACAGTATATCGAGTGCTCCATCCCTGTCGTCCAGTCTCAGCTTCTGGCAATCAGGTTCATGAACACCCAGAGCATGAGGTTGCATCACTGACCATCTTGGCTAACAGCCATTGATGGAGCTATTCTCCAGGATCTTACCTAATTCTCTTTTGAACCCAAATATACGAGTTCCCCAGGTAGACAGTGCGTAGTGTGAAGAAGTACTTCCTTATGTTTGTTTTAAACCTGATGCTTATTAATTTCATTGGGTGACCCTGGTTCATGTGTTATGTGAAGAGATAAATAACACTTCCTTCTTCGCTTTCTCCACACTATTCATGATTTTATAGAGCTCTATCTTATCTCTCTTAGACATCTCTTTTCTAAGCTGAACAGTCCCAGTCCTTTTAACCTCTCCTCCTATGGAAGCTGTTCCATACCCCGAATCATTTTTATTGCCCTTTTCTGTACTTTTCCTTCACTAAAAAGGAAAAAATATCTGAAATATATACCATGGAACAGTTAAGAGTTTGCGTTATAAGGGGAAATACATAAAATGAGGTTCTACATCTTAAATGTGAAAAAGAAAAGTTTAATACTATTATTTCTTTTTATTATATTACTTTAATCGTATGGATAACAGCATTTTAATAAACAAATTGCTATTGGATACAAGAAAGTGATCATGTATTGTACTATCTTGATTAGATACAGTCAACTGGCTGTTATATTTTAACATTGTTTAATCTAAGACTCTTAATATGATTCAGCTGATTTAAAATCTAATCTAAATTACATGTTAAGTGATTTTGTTGATCATAGCTGTGCTAATGCATTTCAATCCTATAATGCAATAGTGTGTTGTTCTGGTCCTGAACTACTTTTGAATACCAGCTGGCAATTGTACTATGTTTTGAACATTATGTGCAATCATTCCTTAAAGTATCAAAGTAACTTGCTTGTTCACAGCATCCTTTTTCAAAGTGTGACAGTTTGGGGAATCTCATGTTTGCAGGTTTCAGGTGTGTCTGCTATAGTCACATTTTTGTTCCATTCCTTTCTATCACTAACAGGTAAATACAGGATAATATCTCCTCTGGTTGGAGACCCCTAAATCATAAAGATCTGTGATATTTCTTTCCTTGCTAGATGCAATCATTGACAGACTTCACCGGAACACTTTGAAGAACTGGCTTCTGCTAAGTTTCTGTCTCTTTCTGCCTGTCCTTGTTTGTTCTATCATCATGATTATAAAACGAAATGAATTGAATAGATGCTGCACTAAGGAAGAATCACAAGTTGATGAGTAAGTTTATTTTGTTCACCTATCTAATTCTAACCTTTCTTTTAGGGATCTGGAATCTTCCCGGGCACTGGGGAAGGTGGTGAGTTCATGAGCAAGACCATAGGAGTGGAATAGTTGAGTGGTGCTGTAATGTGCACACTTGTTGTGATGCCTCCTCATGGCTGGGTCTAGAGATCAGCTCTCATTAGGTCTAGGACCTCCTTCCATTGCTCATTTGGCCCGTGGTAGCTCCAGCTCTCTTTTTGTGACTCAGCCTTCCGGCCAGATCACTATAGTCTTCCTCTTCCAGGGGTATCAAAGTCCCACTGGACAAACTGTCTATCTGAAGTCTCAGGCAGTATTCTGATCCACTTCTTTGGTACTTTCCCAGTGGCTGATAGGGGAACCTGTGCCTGCCCACTACTTCGGATCCCACCCAGGGACTCTATGCCCAGCAACCACAGTCTGCTCAAACTCCGACCCAGTTGCTGTTCCCATGGATTCCCTCCTCCCTCTCTTCTCAATCTTCTGGACCATCTCTTGGTTAACACTGGTACTTCGTCCACTCCCCCATGCCTACCTAACTCCTCCCATCTTCTTGCCAAAGTCTGTAGTCCAAGGCAGGATTCCAGGACTTAGGGCTTGTCTACACTACAGGGGAAATTCGATCTAAGCTATGCAATTTGAGTTACGTGAATAGCGTAACTCAAATTGAGTTAGCTTAGATCTACTTACCGCGGGGTCCACGCTACACAATGTTGACGGGAGACGCTCTCCCATTGACTCCCCCTACTCTTCTCAATCTGGTGGAGTACAGAAGTCGACGGGAGAGCGATCTGCAGTCGATTTAGCGGGTCTTCACTAGACCCGCTAAACCGACCGCCGATGCATCCATGGCCGCTCATAGGTAAGTGTAGACAAGCCCTTACTCTCCCAATAGAACTCCTTCTTGTACCTAGCCAACTTGCCCGTCTCTAGAGAGTGACTTAAGAGCTCCTCCTTGCAGCCCTCTTCTCGTACTTCCAACTTCCTCTCTTTCCAAGGCCTTGTCTACACTACAAAGTTTTGTCGGCAAAAGTTATGCCGCTTTAATTAAAACCGCTGTTGCATGTCCACACTAGCTCCTTGTGTCGGCAGAGTGCATTCACACTAACAGCTCTTGCATCACCACAGGGAGCAGTGCACTGTGGTAACTATCCCACTATGCAATTGGCTGCAGGGTGCTTTGGGAAGGGTTTGCAATGCCTCATGGGGCAGGTGCAGCATCACGTGATGCAGGTTTCTCAATCCCATTGTTCCAGGGGCAGCCTAGTAGATTGTCAGGTGCTTTTTCAACTGAAATGTGTGGGGGAGGGAGAGGAGAATGGCGTGCCTGGGGTGGGGGAGACAGCAGGCTGACTGACCTATTCTGAACCTCTCCACAGCAGCCTGCTCTGCCTGCCTATGGTTCTGTGATTCTCTCAGAGTTCTCCCACAGTCTCCTCAGCTGCTGGGAGCGGCATCCTGAGCAGCTCTGTAACCTTTCTGTGCTGAGGAATGCCAAAGCAGCACAGCATTTTCTTTCTCTTCTCTCCCCTCATCCCTCCCTCCCCCCCCCCCCCCCCCCGTGCACATTGACTGGAAGATTTTTCCCCAGCAGCAACCGCTGGGTTGGCCTGGGCGCCCCCTGGCGACCCGCCACCCCCTCAGTTCCTTCTTACCGCTAGTGACGGTGGCTGGAACTTCCCTTAGCTCTTGTTCAGCAAACTCGTTCTTTCTCTGGTTGTATATAGTTAGTTAGGTTGTGTTCTTAGTATAGAGATTGTTGGGGGTTCTCTCCCCCCCCCCCTTCCACAGCTCCCCGGAACTATGGCATGCCGCAGTCCCCGGGTTTTAAAAACTGTGGCCTGTGTGAAGCGCATGCCGAAGAGTGATCTGCACTCATGTTTACGGTGCTTGGGGGAGACCCATCAAAAAGATCGCTGCAAGATCTGCCGCGAATTCCATCCTAGAACTCTTAAAGGGAACAGCGGCTCACGGTGATCCTCCTGGAGGCAGCTCTACGCCCCCACTCCGACCTGGGTTCAGGGGACCTGACCTCTAATGCGTCATCCTCGACACGGAGCGCCCCAGCACTGTCATCAAGCTCAGCGCTGAGAAAGGACTCCTCCCAAGACACTCGGCACCAACATGGCTCCCCCCAGGGCCTGTCTGATAGTAGGCACCGTTCCCACTTGCTGGTGCCTCAATAGAAGAAGAAGCCAGACAATCGCTCCCCTCTGGCTAAACCAAGAAACGTGAGACCCCAGGTGGGCCACTCTTCTGGATCCCCTGCCAGGGCCAGTCGAGTCTGGCCTTGGTCTCCGGTGCCGACACAGCAGCTACAGCTCCCGTCGACACCAAAAGCTTATCAGGCTGCTTGGAACCTCCTACATCTAACGGTACCGTTCTTGCCCGCCAGGAGGGAGGAACCTTCAACGCCGGCGGACCCGCCCCATCCTCCAGTGCAGTGGAAGGGGAAGCCAGCTATGATGTTGAGGCATTTCCCCTCGCCATGCCTCTTGGCACCAACTTATTCAGACAGAGAGCCTACCCGCTCCCCGAGCTCTTGACATTCGAGGTACCGACCATTCGAGGTGGTCTTCAGTCTCAGAGACCTCGGAGTCAGAGTCCGACTCCTATTGCTCTGAGAGGAGCAGAAGTCACAGATCGTGGTCTGGGAGAGAAGGAGAGAGCCCCAGGCGTGGCCTACACAGTGGCAGAACCCGCCTCAGTGGTCCTTCAGGACCCCTTGGGCCTTTCACCAAGGACAGGGAGGAACCCAGGGTCACCGCTCCGCGATGTCTTCCGTGGCCTCAGCCACCTTCGTTCCGCTATCCGCTGCATACCTGCCTTTGGCGCCTGTAGTCCTGACACCTCCGCCTCTGGCACCATCCTGTGAGAGCTCAACAAGTTCATGAAGAAACTCAGGTTCCGCATGATCTCCCTGGCCTCCATCATCCCTTCACTAGATCCAGCAGACTGGTATGCTGCCCTTGACTTGAAGGATGCGTATTTTCACATCGCAATCGCTCAGAACCACAGGTGGTACCTCAGGTTTGTGGTCAATGGTTCCCACTACCAATTTACTGTTCTCCCGTTCAGCCTGTCAGCAGCACCTTGAGTATTCACCAAGTGCATGGTGATTGTTGCCACTTTTCTGCAGAGGCATCAGGTACAGGTGTTTCCGTACCTTGTCGACTGGCTGATCAAAGGCCGCTCCAGGATGCAAGTGGAAACTCAGGTTGCATTTATCAGAGCCACCTTTGAGAACCTGGGTCTGCTCCTAAACGAAGCAAAATTGACTCTGTCTCCTGTCCAGAGGCTAGAGTTCATAGGGGCAGTACTGGACTCGACCCAAGCCAGGGCATTCCTCCCACAGGTGAGGTTTCAAGCCCTCAATGACATGATCCAGGGAGTCATGCAGTTTCCCACCACTACTGCAAGAAACTGCCTGAAGCTTCTCTGGCACATGGCAGCCTGTACATACGTGGTACGACATGCCAGACTCAGGCTTCGGCCGCTCCAGTCGTGGCTAGCGTCAGTCTATCACCCAGCCCGGGACAGCTTGAACAGGATCGTGACCCTGCCTTGCCCGGTCCTCGATTCCCTCCGGTGGTGGATCGATGCCTTCCAGGTGTGCTCAGGGGTTCCCTTTGCTGCCCCACAGCCACCCCTATTGTTGGTGATGGAAGCATCAGATTTGGGCTGGGGATCTCATTTGGGGGACTGGAGAACTCAAGGCCTCTGCTTGCAAGCAGATCTGTGTCAGAGAGCTGAGAGTGGTGCGCCTGGCATGTCAAACATTCCGCCCTTACCTAACCGGGCAATGTGTATCAGTCATGATGGACAATATGACTGCAATGTTCTATATCAGGGGTGGCCAGCCTGTGGCTCCGGAGCCACATGCGGCTCTTCAGGAGTTTATATGCGGCTCCTTGTACAGGCACCAATTCCAGGGCTGGAGCTACAGGCTCCGACTTTCCAATGTGCTGGGGGGTGCTCACTGCTCAACTCCTGGCTCTGCCACAGACCCTGTCCCCACTTCACCCCTTCCCGTTCCCTCCCCTGAGCCTGCCATGCTCTCGCTTCTCCCCAAGGCCTCCTGTATGCCACGGAACAGCTGATCGGGAGGGAGATGAGGGGGAGGTGCTGACCTGCAGGGCTGCCGGTGGATGGGATGCGATGGGAGCGGGGTGGGGAAGCTGATGGAGGGCTGCTGGCAATGTATATTGATAAATTCTGGCTCCTTCTCAGGCTCAAGTTGGCCACTCCTGTTCTATATCAACAAACGGGGGTGCACGCTCCTCTCCCCTGTGCCAGGAAACCCCCTATGGGACTTCTGTGTAGAATATATAATCCACCTGCGTTGTACCTCCCCGGGATTCAGAACAAGCTCGGCAGGTTGTTCCGCAGCCACGAGTGGTCCCTTCGCCCGGATGTCGCAAATTCAGTCGTCCAGAGGTGGGGATTTCCCCCGATGGACCTCTTCGCCACACAACACAACAGGAAGTGCCAGCAGTTCTGCCCCTTCCAGAATCACAGCTTGGGCTCCACCGCGGATGCGTCCCTCCTCAACTGGGGAGGGCCTCTCCTATACGCCTTCCCGACGATACCGCTCTTTCACAAGGTCCTGCTCGAGATCCGCAGAGATCATGCTCAGATCATACTGATAGCACCGGCCTGGGCCCATCAGCACTGGTACACATCCCTCCTAGACATGTCAGCGGGAGCCCCGATTACCTTGCCGTTCTCCCTAGACCTTCTCACACAAGATCATGGACGTCTCCAACACCCAAACCTACAGTTGCTCCATCTTATAGCATTGAAGCTCCATGGTTGAATCCATCGGAACTTTCCTGTTCAGACCAGGTCAGACGGGTCCTCTTTGGTAATAGGAAACCCTCGATGAGGGCCACATACCTTGCCACGTGGAAGAGATTTTTAGTCTGGCTGGCGCAGTGCGACTCGCCCCCGACGCTAGCCTCGGTGCCACACATTCTAGACTACCTTCTACATCTGAAGCAGGAAGGTCTCTTGTTGCCTTCTATAAGAGTGCACTTGGCTGCCATCTCAGCCTTCCACCTGGGTGTACAGGGCCACTCGGTTTTCGCTAACCGCATGGTCAGCCAATTCCTAAAGGGGCTCAACGGGTTTTACCCTCATGTCCATCAACCGGTCCCTGCCTGGGACCTCAACTTGGTCCTCTCTAGGCTCATGGGGCCCCCCTTTGAGCCTGTAGCAACATGTTCCCTGCTCTACCTCCTAAAAGGTCGCGTTCCTGATGGCGATAACCTCGGCCAGGAGGATATCTGAGCTCAGGGCCCTGATTTCAGACCCGCCCTACACCATGTTCTTTAAGGACAAGGTTCAGCTCAGACCTCGCCCTGCCTTCCTCCCAAGGTTATCTCGCAGTTTCATATCAACCAGGACATCTTCCTCACAGTTTTCTACCCTAAACTTCATTCCAGCAACAGGGAGCAGAGCGCTGGCCTTCTATATCGAGAGAACAAAACTGTTCAGAAAGTCGGTCCAGCTCTTTGTGACAGTGGTGGACAGGATGAAAGTTTAGCTGGTTTCGCCCCAGCGCATTCCATCATGGATCGTGTCCTGTATCTGTGAGTGCTACAACCTGGCAGGTGTTCCCACACGTCCGATCATTGCGCACTCTACCAGGGCGCAGGCTTCATTGACGGCGTTCCTGGCGCAAGTTCCCACCCAGGAAATCTGCAGAGCGGCGACGTGGTCTTCCATACACACTTTCACTGTGCATTATGCAATCACCTGGCAGGCCAGAGACGATGCGGCCTTCGGAAGAGCAGTACTTCAATCAGTGGACAGCTCTGGCCCCACCTCCTAAATTTGGCTTGGGAGTCACCTGATTGGAATGGACATGAACAAGCACTTGAAGAAGAAAAAACGGTTACTCACTTCTTGTAACTGTTGTTCTTCGAGATGTGTTGTTCATGTCCATTCCAATACCCACCCTCCTATCCCTGTCGGAGAAGCCGGCAAGAAGGAACTGAGGGGGTTATGGATTGGCAGGGCTCTATATTGGGTGCCATGAAGGCGTGACTCCAGGGAGCGCTCAGGCTGACTCGACGGATGCTGCTAGGAGAAAAATCTTCTGGCCAACGTGCACGTGCACGCACACACACCTGATTGGAATGGACATGAACAACATATCTCAAAGAACAACAGTTACGAGAAGTGAGTAACTGTTTTTTATTCCTCCATAAGATATACCAAACCAGCAACGAAAGTAAACTGTCTCACCACACTGGCTAACAAGAAATCAGGAAATCAGTTTCCTTAGGCATTCCAGTCCTTGCATCACCACCAAAAACACTGGATTTAAAGATGAGTGGTTCTTTAAAACCAGGCTCATCAAACAACAGGTTCTTCTGATCCCAAAGGACCAGCCACACCCCCAGGTCAATATAAACTCAGATCTTACTCAATAATCACGCTGTTGCCAATCCTTTAGTATCTAAAATCTAAAGGTTTATTTATAGAAAGAAAGAAAGAAAGAAAAGGGAGAGTTAAAATCGGTTAAATGAATCAAATACATACATTAATTGTAAAGTTCTCGGTTCAGGCTTGTAGCAGTGATGGAATGAACTGCTGGCTTAAGTCAAGTCTCTGGCTGCTTCCAAATCATTGGAAGGTCCTCAATTCCTTGGTTAGAATACTTCCATTAGTCCAAAGGCTTGAGTAGGATAGAGACTGGAGCAGGATAGAGGCAAAATGGAGGTGTTTCCAGTGCTTTTTATATCTTCTGCCATGTGGAGGGAATCCCATTGTTCTTACTGTGGAAAATTACAGTAACAAGATGGTGTTTGAACTCCAAGTCACATGTCCATGCATGATTTTGCCTAGTCACAGCAGGAAAGTCCATTAAGAGTAGATAGGTGTCTTCCATTGTAAGTTAAATGTCCTTTAATGGGCCATTCTACTTGAATAGTTCCTTCAAGATGTGCAGGCTAAATACCTTGTGGGCGTTACCCCAGGAGCAAACATTTGAAATACAGGTATAGAGCCAATGCTCATAATTTCAAATACAAAAATGATACATGCATACAAATAGCATAATCATATTCAGCAAATCATAACCTTTCCATAGGCACCTTACTTGACAACCTTTGTACAAGATTTGTTGCAAATATATAACAGTGGTTGCAACAATGATCTATATGGTCATATTTTAATCAGATAACATCACAGCCTCTCGTTGAGGTGGTTTTATTTTGTCGGCAAAAGTAGCTTTATAGTGTGTACACCTCCAGTTTTGCATACAAAACTTTGCAGTATAGACAAGGCCTAAGCCTGTCTCAGCTCCTCACCCAGCTTGGCTTCATCAGCATTAGGCCTTCTCCGGTCCTGGCTCTCCTCCAGGTTAATTGTCCTATTTTTCCTCTTCAGGCCTAGTGTGTGTGTATAGGGAGGTAGACAGCCTATCACAGGTGCATATTAGAAAGTACTTGTTTTTTAAAATGTGTAGGGTATAATAGATGGGATTTCCAAGCTGACTCTTTCAACAGTGGATGTGAGAGATACACAAAGGGAACTTTCCTAAGGTAAAATGAAACCAGTAAAAAAATGTAGAAAAGAGTGAAAGAAGTAAAGGATAAATGTGCCTGCTACAAATGCTAGTAACATATTGATTGTTGGATTAGAATTGTGTTTTCAGGAAGTGTGATGTAACCAGAATGATAGAGACTTGGTGAAACCAAGACCTTCAGTTGGGAGATGAAATTAATAGTAAATAAAGTTTACTGAAGGGGCATAAAAACAAAGCAAGATGAGGGGTTGCAGTACAGGAAACTTTGTTTACAGAAGGCGATGCTATACAACCCTGCTCAGTGGAAGCTCAGTTATATCCTTGAGGTTTTCAAAGTTGGATGGGATACTTTTACTTTACTGCACTCCAGGGCCAACCCCCTGTTCATACCAACTATTTTTGTGTCTCCCCAAACATTAGGATACATTGATTTATTCTCGATTAGTATTTTGGTTACACAGCACAGACCATTTGGATTGAAGAACAAGATAAAAATAGATGATCCTTGGTTGTTCTCTAGATTTCTTAGAGAAATTAGATGGGAGACTAGCAAGTGTTTCTACTGATAACCCAGACCCTGTAAAAATAATGTTGTTGTGAAGAAGGGTAATATTTTATCCACTGATGGACCCCCCACTTCTGTTGGCAGATACCTTCCCTCCCAAAAGGTATAGGCCAGCAATGAGTCAAACCTTACATTGACTTCAGTGATAGACGATCAGACCCTATTCACTGATGCCACCAGTTATTGAAAATGACTCTTTAGCTCAGTGGTGGGCAACCTGCAGCCCGCGGGCCGCACGTGGCCCGTCAGGGTAATCTGGTGGCGGGCCACGAGACACTTTGTTTACATTGACTGTCTGCAGGCACGGCTGCCCGCAGCTTCCAGGGGTCATGGTTTGCCATTCCTGGCCAATGGAAGCTGCGGAAAGCAGCGCAGGCCGCAGGGACGTGCTGGCCTTATCACTGCTGTCCTCTCAAGATGGAATCAAGCATAATTTCATCAGGTTGTAAATTCTGATGAGTTTCTGTAGAAAGAATTATAATGAAAAATACTGGACTTCAGAAAATAAAACTCCCTGAGAATGCAAAAGGAGTTAAAGAAAATTGTTTGAATTCAGTAATACCTGGGAAAAGCACTTGGGAAAGTAAAAACTGTACTCAAGATACAAACAAAGAGACTACATGTTCCAATAAAAACTGAAACAGTGTAAAAGGCAACCAAAATCCACAGGGCTAAATACAGGGCCATCCCTAGCTATTTTGGGGCCTTACGCAGCCCCCCTGTGCGGGGGGGCGGGGAGCAGGCCTCCATGGGGGGAGGGGGAGCTGGCTTGGGGCAGGGGGAACCATCCCCCAGCACTCACCGGCGGCGCAGCTGGGGCCAGGTCCCTGCACTTCCTGCTGCTGGTGAGTGCAGGCCTGGCCCTCCTGCAGTCCTCAGAGCCGGGAAGAGGCGGGTCTGGGGTGGAGCAGGGGTGGGAAGAGGCGGGGTGGGGGCAGAGCAGGGCGGGGGCTTTGGGGAAGGGGTGGAGTGGGGGCGGAGCAGGGGTAGGAAGAGGCGGGGCAGGGGGCCTGGGGAAGAGGTGGGGCAGGGGCTGGAGCAGTACACAGCTGCGCAGGGCACCAGGAAATTTGGTGTCCCAAGTTTCCTGGTGCCCTACGCAGCTGCATACTTGGCGTACGGGTAAGGACGGCCCTGGCTAAATAGGAAGGTAAAGAGAAGCATGGAAGAAAATGTAAGGCCATTTTACCACTATGGAGAATGAGAGGGTGTCCTCTGGTTAAAGAGAGAGCCAAACTACTTGGGTAAAAGTAATCTTCACAATAAATTTACTGTATGCTCTAGAGCTATGAGACTATGTGTATGGTATGCTTAATTTTAAATACTGTGGAAGTTAATAAAGCATCTTATTGCTATACCTAAACAAATAGTGAGAACTCTGTTTTTCTCCAACAATACTCATACCACTCTGTTTTCTAATCTAAATCTAGATTAGAAGACATGGATCAGTCAGAAAATCCAAGGTAAATTTCATATCTGTCAGTGCAGTAGAACATGTATCTAGTTTTCTTTTATTTAGAATATGCTTAATATTTACATGCCAAAATCTGCATTTGATAGTTGCAATGTGACTTTGAAGCACATTTGAACATTTCATTGCCAACTTGATTTTAAAGTACAGTTTGAAAGAAAAAAAAAATAAGCTATCAAATGTAATGCATTGATACCATGTTCTTTAAATTTACCAATTGTGATTAAGAAAGATAAATTTCATCCTTAAATTATTTAGAAAAGTTAGCAGTCTCTGTAAATAGCGCCTCTATCATATTACAGAATGTTGGGCCAGTTTTTTAAAGGTATATAGGTGCCTAAAGATGCAGATAAGCACCTAATGCAGCGGCTCTCAAACTTTAGCAACCCGAAGACCCCCATTTTGATTTAAAAATTTTCACGGACCCCCAAGCTTCCCGCTCACCCCAGACCCCGCCCCCACTCCACCCCTTCCCCCAAGTCCCCATCCTCACCCCTTCTCTTCCCTGCCTCTTTCCACCCTCTCCCCTTGTCACGGAGTGTGGGGGGACACAAGGCCCTGCCCCCTCCCCCGGCTTCCT